TCTTTGGCATCGTATTTTACCGCCATATAATTATTCTAACTACAAACAATTAATATCCAAAGGGAAAGTAACCGAAGGCTCTTGACTTTAAAGGGGCACTGATCTAACGCAATTCCCCGGGACTGGTTGTTGCCTTTGTTATTGTTTTTCCCCCGTGAATACCCGGATGTATAGCAGAAATCTAGACTAGTTCGCGACCTCTGCTGCGCCATTCGTAAGCGCATTAGTCACTTTTATGGGTAGTAATAAGGGCGTATGGTCACATTGATCAACAAAATGAAATACAGTTTTCGAGATAATAAGGAAATGTAGGTATCTTTGTGAGTAGCACCGGTAATGGTGACGAAGTTTTGATAAGTCACTTGCTCGGTAATTTTGCGATTTTCGTTACACTATTTTGACTTGCAACACAAAGTATATATTTCACCTGAGCATATGCTTTTTTTATAGTGTGTATATTTTTTTACTGTCAAATGTGTAACAAATTTATTAAACGTCTAAATATTCAGTTATTTTACAAAGTGACTGAAAAACATTTCCATCTGTATTATTATGACAACGAATTCCAAACATTTTGATGTTTAATGTCATCACCAAGAAACGTTGAAAAATACATTTCTAAGTTGTTTGGCTTTTAATCCTACATAATAATCTGTTGTGATGTTTGTAGGCCCTTTTGATCGTCTTGATCAATCTGGACAGATTTTTTAGTCAAAATGACTGAAATATTTACACATTTTATAAATTGCCTGAGATAATCACATTTTACAAATTGACGGTAATATATACACGCTTACAAAGGAAAAGACCTGTGACAACAACGTCTATCGCGCATTGAAGAATTTCCCAACCAAGACGTAGAGAAACAATAACGAATCGGTTCAAATGAAGGAAAACAAAATGCAGATATCATAATTACAACCTACCAAATTTATGTGTATAAGTTTTAGGCAGCTTCCTTGTTCGAGGAATGTATCCGTGAATATCCACACAAAGGAACAATATCCCACTCGTCTGCAGCTGCACAAAGAAACTTATTCGATGTCACGTGGTTCAGTAACAATCAAATATTTTAAAAGATATATATCGTTTCGGGATATTATAACCCGTGTTCGTTTCTCAACTGATCGCTTGGATTGTTTCAGATGTTTTACATAGGTGTCAAGTCTCAAAGGTCGGCTGAGAAAGCCCACGTGACAACTATTTTCATAGCGTCCACGGTTCCTAAAAATTCCATTGAGTGATAGATAACAATGATCAATCAATCAACGTATTATCAGTTAACCCTTTGAACAAAGTATGTTCTTTTTACATCGGCACTTCGCGCCATGATATGAGTGTATTCCCTTTGTTTTAGTAAACCTAGACGTGTAAACACTCACTCTTGACATATCCACTGTGCAAGATAACAGTGATTAATCAATCAACGTATTTTCTGTACATCCTTTGATGACTAGGAACGATCCGTTGATTTACAAAAAAAAGTAAATCAACTGATCATTCATCTCTTGCTGGGCTGCCACGTGCATATTACATAACACACATTTCACCTCACTTCAAACCTGGATTTAGATTGAATAATTACCCCAGCCACAATAAATACCAAATGGGAACCTTTGTCAGGTAATATAAGTGGTGCTACCACTAATTGTACCTGTAATAAATTCATTAACTGAGCATCAAGTGAATGACGACAAATACACAAGTGTAGGGTTATACGAGAAAACGTGGATGACAACAAGGGAGTAGTAATCGTATTATCGACGCAAGCCGAAATCCGAAAATGCTTTCACTGCATGGATACTGTTTTTAGTATTAAACTATAACCATCTGGGGTATTTCCAAATGACGACATCCGATGAGCTCCCTTGTTCTTTTTGTCTGTTTGTTTAGGCTGAAGAAATGAATTATCATGCGCCCTTTGTCGAAATCTTTATAGATCACAGTTATTTAACCAATCAGTGTTCAAAAATGCGTAAAACAAATATTGCCTCCAGCCTCCAAGTTTATTTAGCTGTCCTTGCAGACGGTACCCCAGTCTCTTGTCACGCTCAGTTGCGTTGCGTATCATCCGGGTACTCACGGGGGAAAAACAATAACAAAGGCAACAACCAGTCCGTTAGATCAGTGCCCCTTTAAGAAAGTCGTTTCGTATTACAAGTGGGTTGGAGACATATACAGATTACCTGTTTGTAGGTTGTCTAACGCCGCATTATTCCAGCCACGACGGGTCCGTAAATAATCGAGTCTGGACCAGAGAATCCAGTAATTGGTATCATGAGCATCAATCTACGCAAATGGGATAATCAACCAAGTCATCGAGCCTGATCAACCGATCAATTCTAACCAGGGTCTTCAGAGTATCCGTACGTTCTTAACATCAATACAGCTCCAGCAGCAGGTTCAGGAGTACAGCTCCATCATCAAGACAATCTGCTAAAAACAGACGAGGAAGAACCTCCTACATAATTTTTCGGCATGTGTGTTGTTTTACGTCGACGTGGGTAGCATTCCATCTTCATGATGGCGGTCTATATGTAAACCGAGTGAGCACCAGACAAACCAGTGGTTGATATTATGAGTAAAGTTCCTCGCCGTTTGGGAGCAATCCCACGCAATCAGTTAATGCACAAACCTCCCTTGAGGTCAAGTCACCTAATACATGAATAAACCAATTTTATCCTTGAATCCCCACGGTCACCTGTGCTCCCTTGAGATGAAAGGCTCGCAGTCAATTACGCCAAACTGAACGGACACATTATCATATAGGGGCGGTGGGGTAGCCTAGGGGTTTAAAGCGTTCGCTCGTCACGCCGAAGACCCGGGTTCGATTCCTCACATAGGTACAACGTGTGAAGCCCATTTCTGGTTTCCCCAGCCGTGATATTGCTGGAATATAGGTAAAAGCCGCGTAAAACCACAATCACTCACTCATAGCCATAGCCACAGCATCATATAGGATTTGTTTTCTCACACACTGACAGGAAAACATAAGATTTGAGCCATGGTCCATGCGACCTCAACTGAGCTAAACGCGTTTCAGATCGAGCACAACCATTGTGTTCTACATGTAGTTTGATATTGTTTAACACCATTTTCGGCAATATTCCAACAACATGACTGCGGCCTGTAAACAATTAAGCCTGGTCCAAAGAATTCAGTGAGTCATAATATGATCAACGATCCACTCCTTCAGGGAACAATGACCTTTAAGACCTTTATGACCAGCATAGGTTGCTGGAGGCTTATTCTCACACGCAATCCAATAGGTATTGAAGATACGCTAGACCTTCAATGTCACTCATTCATCAAGACAGGGGTATATATAGCATGCTTACCAGGCTGGACAGTTGTGAGTGCACCTACCAGTTCTGGACAGTTGTGAGTGCACCGACCAGTTCTGAAAAGTTGTGAGTGCACCGACCAGTTCTGAAAAGTTGTGAGTGCACCGACTTATGTCATAGGAAGGTCCGTTACTAATTTATTCTCCCACAGATTTGACCAATTGTATCGCCTTTTGTGATTGTGCACCAAAAACTATTTTTCAATATACAACATTATGACATTATGACTTTGCAGATTTGCAGAGTCAAGGAGTATTCGGAAATGCCAGGACATTTCTTTTGGAACCGACGGCTTGACCCGGAGGTTTTAAATGTAATAATTTCCTGGCAAAATTCCCAACGCTGTCGGTTCCAAATAAATTTTCCATGCATTGAATACTCAATAAAACCCACAAGTCTGAAAATACAAGTGAAACCACGTTTGTCGGAACAGATTATTCTAGAACTCCCGTGATTCACGATAATAAGGAACATCTACTGAGAAATAAACCAGTGGGAGTTGTTTATCGTACAATAAAACGCTGCAGGGAGGATAAACCAAATATTAGTCTAAATATATGTTTGATAATACGCAAAGATTAATGAAGGACGAAGCGTGGTTTATTTCACGATAAAACATTGTTCTATCATGACGTAATTTCCGGCGATTCGAATCTGCGCTCGCAACTTGATGATGTATGTTATTGGGCGGTTATTTTTGAGAGGGAAGAGTCTTGTAAGTTGTTTCTCATAAATGAAGCTGGGCTACACAGATAAACACAGTGGCCGAACGATCGCATCCAAAAGTGGGAGAGATCTGACAATCGGTATCAGGGGAAAAGGTACCGATTGTCGATGTGAGGATTGTGAGAATGCCGGTATGTGGGAAATACCAAACTTAACCCACCTGTTCGTACAATGGACTTGTCGGACATTTCCGAGGTTGGATTGTATTCAGGGCCCCGTTCCAGAAAGTGATCTTAGCGCTACGATGATCGTAAGCCTATGTTAAAGTATGGGACTTACGATCACCTTAGCACTAAGTTCGCTTTGTGGAACGGGGCCCAGGGAGTCATCATTATTAAAATTTGGGTAAAATTTCTTAAAGCTTGTACATTTTATCAACATCCTTAGAGTCTGATTATAATGTTGATATCTCATATAAGAAATAAATGATATTACTCTAAACAATGATTCTTTTATCTGAATACTTGATTATCTTGTGGAATTCATTGGGAATGGTACTATCTGGATCTACATGGTTTCATCAATTTTGCAGTGAAGCTGTTTCAATCAAAAGTTGTTATTGTGATGGAAAGCCTCCGACAGAATAACCAGAAAGAGTACTTTTCTAATTCATGCTGAAATGTAGATGTAGTACACTAGCGGAACAGGAATCCAGAATTATAAAATGTCAAGGTAGAAGTGAGTGAAATGGGTTTTATTCCACTTTCAACAATTTTATATCGTGTGTGTGAAGGTATACCAGAAACGGGTTTTCACACATTGAACCCAGGCTTTCAGTGTGGCGAGTAATGCTTAACCACCAGGCTAGCTCACTGCCCCTAAATCCAACGGATTTTTGACAGTTTCATAATAATATCAAGAAAACAAAAGTGGGTAACACATTTTGTTTATAATAGTTGGTATCGAGATGGGCCAAACAGAACTCAATAGTGGTTTTGACATAATTTATTGATCCAAGATCGCTCTAGGAAGTACAAACAAAGGCTTGTATTAATATTGTTCACCATTCACACACGCAAAAAAACAAGGATCATGTGAGATTGCTTTGTTTTCGGATAGGTCAACAATCATGGACAGCCCATTCCCTTGCAAACAGTGTGAAATCAGTGTATAAATGCATCACATTATTTGTCATTACAGCATATACTGGAAGGACTAGATTCACTGGGTGCAATTTCAGACGAATATTCTGTTCACATGTGACTGGCATCCTGTGTCAGCCCCTGACACGCATGCAGGCTGACCAACAGACAGCGGCATTCGTCACACATGAAGGCTGACCAACAGACGGCATTCGTCACACATGCAGGCTGACCAACAGACGGCATTCGTCATACATGAAGGCTGACCAACAGACGGCATTCGTCATACATGAAGGCTGACCAACAGACGGCATTCGTCACACATGAAGGCTGACCAACAGACGGCATTCGTCACACATGAAGGCTGACCAACAGACGGCATTCGTCACACATGCAGGCTGACCAACAGACCGCATTCGTCACATATGCAGGCTGACCAACAGACAGCGGCATTCGTCACACATGCAGGCTGACCAACAGACAGCAGCATTCGTCACACATGCAGGCTGACCAACAGACAGTGGCATTCGTCACACATGCAGGCTGACCAACAGACAGCGGCATTCGTCACACATGCAGGCTGACCAACAGACAGCGGCATTCGTCACACATGAAGGCTGACCAACAGACGGCATTCGTCACACATGCAGGCTGACCAACAGACAGCTGCATTTGTCACACATGAAGGCTGACCAACAGACAGCGGCATTCGTCACACATGCAGGCTGACCAACAGACAGCTGCATTTGTCACACATGAAGGCTGACCAACAGACAGCGGCATTCGTCACACATGCAGGCTGACCAACAGACGGCATTCGTCACACATACAGGCTGACCAACAGTCAGCGGCATTCGTCACACATGCAGGCTGACCAACAGAGAGCGGCATTCGTCACACAGGCAGGCTGACCAACGGACAGCTGCATTTGTCATACATGAAGGCTGACCAACCGACAGCGGCATTCGTCACACATGAAGGCTGACCAACAGACGGCATTCGTCACACATGAAGGCTGACCAACAGACGTCATTCGTCACACATGAAGGCTGACCAACAGACGGCATTCGTCACATATGCAGGCTGACCGAAGACATTCTGTCAAAAATTCTCTTTAGATTGAAAGCTTCCACTGCATTATATTTGAGCTAGTGTCAACGATCAACTGGTATCCATTGCCTCCTGTCCCAGATCCCCTGCTTCCTCCACCCTACGGTCATAGCTTGGGGTTGGAGGGGTCTGTGTCACAACTGTCTCAGTCTTCCGCAACATGGACTCCAGGTTTGTGGCCCTGGAGGGGGCAGCAACACCTTCTGATTTGTCCCTCTCCATGGCCTGCTTCTCGTCAGTGACCACCACACTTTCTGATTCCTGAAACAAGAGGGAAATAGAATTTTACATAGTTCCTGATAAGCATGTTAAGGAATTTAGATTTGAGTTAATTAGGAAATATACCATTGGAATATCATTAGAACTATGTTACTTATAGATTTAATGGCACTATTAAGTAACTGAATCTGAAGCATGAGATATCAAATGTTATACTTGGCAGTCGAATGCATAGTTAACATAGCTTTCAGTGACAGAATGTCGATCTCCATTTTACCATGACAAAACTCCAGTCAAACTTTTCGTTTTAGAAGAAATAAAGATAAGGTCCCTGGGACTGTAATGGAGAACTGTACATACTCTCATATTTACAACCACAAAAGGCATTCAAGCTGTGTAGCATAGCTACATAGCAAACAAACGCAGAACTTACAGGAAATAATATTCTCATACGCCTAATATCATGTCACAACATTCTACACTACGACTATTGCCAAACATACTTTCAATATTCAATAATAATTTGCAATTGTTAATATCATTTTGCTCCACCATTGTTAACTAACTGTATGTGGTGAGAAGTGTTTACTGTTACCTGGCTTGCTGTCAGTGGTATACGGCACTCAGCTTCCTGCAGAGGGGTGTGGAGCACACAGAACACAGCATCTGTGCATGGGGCTACTGGCTGACCACACTTGCCATTTTCAAAGCGGCATGGCTGGTACAATACTTGGCTTGGGTCATTCAAGATGTCTGAGTACCAGTTAAGGAATTTAAAAAGGGTTGTCAGTAAGGGTTTTATGACTTGGAACCATCACTCTATAAAGAACTGTATCTCACATGAAGAGGATAACTGTAACACACATTACTGTAGTCATCAATATTATGGCTCATGGTGACTAGACCCAAGAAGATCCGGGGTGGAATAGGTCTTCAGCAACCCATGCTTGTCGTAAGAGGCAACTAATGGGATCGGGTGGTCAGGCCCGCTGACTTGGTTGATGCATGTCATTGTATCCCAATTGCGTGGATTGATGTCAATCACTGTATTGTCTGGTTAAGACTCAATTATTTACATTCATACAGCTGGAATATTACTGAGTGTGGCGTTAAACAACAAACAAACAAACAAACATGGTGACTCAGGGCTCGGTGTTCCACTGTGAGAACCCTGAATGACTCCTGAACATATGATAACAGGTATGATACCAAGGCCTCAAGCCAGTTGGGCTACACATCACTTTGAACTGTATTTTAGTTACACCATGGACTGACAGCTAAATCACACAATGTGAGAGCAATGGCTAATATAATGCAAGTTTAGATATTTTCCACTCGCATAACCATCAAGGATGTGAACTCTGCTGACAGACCAAGGATCTGTACCTACCAGCACATCATACAATAATAGCAAAGGGGCTTAACTCTGCTACTTACACCCAACTGTGTGTGTGTGTGTGTGTGTGTGTGTGTGTGTGTGTGTGTGTGTGTGTGTGTGTGTGTGTGTGTTTTTGTTGTTTAATGTCGTACTCTGCAATATTCCAGTATAAGACGGCGGCCTGTAAATAACTGAGTCTGGACCAGACAATCCAGTGATTATATTGTGAGCAATGATCCAAGCTGGTACAACGACTTGTCATCAACAAAGTCACCAAATCTGACCACCTGAGTCTCCTCTTATGACAAGCATAGATGGCTGGGAACTAATTGTAACCCAGAATCTCTAAGGGGGCACAAACAAATAACATTTCTTAAAACCTACACACAAAACATCTGAGCATAAACTTTCTAAAATATATTTTTGTAAATGTATCCATCAGCATCGTAGTTTGCGATGTACGAACAAATAGTTCTGGAATCCTAAGAGTAGGCTTGTCTGCCAACAGACCTGCTCCTGTTCTGTTCTGACTTGTTCTGACTCCCTTCAGGTGTCATGCAGAGATGAATACACATGTTTAAAGGATACGAACAATGCAGTATTTGGAGAGGGGCAGTGTTCGGGCACTGCACCTCACTCCTGATTTATCCAATTGGATGCATTTAGCATAAGATGGAGGCCTGTAGTGGTTGCCCTCCGACACAGCAATTCTCCTCTGCTTGCAGCTACGATGCAGTAAAGCCTCCTACGGAATCACAACAAAATACATATCATATGATTACATGAAGGCAGGATAAGACTGCAAATAACTGAAGAAACATCTTAAGGATCAAAAGGTTTTCGGTTTTGGTTAGGTTTTTTGTTCAACGCTGCGCTCAGCAATATTCCAGCTATATGACGGCGGTCTGTAAATAATCGAGTCTGGACCAGACAATCCTGTGATTAATATCATGAGCATCGATCCAAGCAATTGGGATCGATGACATGCATCAACCAAGAAGGATCAAAGGTGATTGTAAACATAGGAAACATCATTTGTTTGTGACATGTGCCACACAATATGTATCAAGCAAAAAATATCTTTCGATCAAAATGACTTTTTATAGATTTTACATCTGGACATATGTGTTGTTATAAGTTAAGTTACACGCCAAACGGATACCATACTAGACATGGGTACAGGCAAAGTCCAGTTTGTCTCTATGTGACAATACAAAGACAACAAAAAAGTCCAGCCGAAAATAATATAGCTCTAATGAAAAATATGGTGACATTTAATACTACACACTGTATATCACTTGTAAATGCTACTCAAAAGAAATCAAAGAACACCCGATCTTTTCATGTGACTATAGTTAAAATGTCATGGCTGGTTGGTGTTGCAACACAGCCTTCCAATTGTGGGTGTTCTTTAACTTGTTTTAAGTAGTATCTGTTAAGGCTGCAACGATACAGGAAGGTCACGATATGATAAGCATCTCGATATTCTGGTCATGATACGATACGTATCTCGATACGCAATGATACAAAAACAAGACTTAAAGCATGTCAAGATTGAACCTTTCATGATTTTGGAACAGTCAACATTATTTTATAATTACAAGACAACTGAAGCTGTTAAGCTTCAAAGCAGAACTTTCTCTAACTTTCCTTCAAAACAATTCAAAGTGCAACACCAGAAAATAATGAATGTACTTCACCTGTGATAGAACTTAAAAGAATTTGTATGCAATGGTCGAAGAAATTGTATCTGAAATGATTGTTTTATCAGGAATAATATATTCCAAAATCGTGTTACTTTAGTTGCAGCTTTTACTCTATATGTATTTAAAATTATATAAACCACAAGTGTAGCATTTTGGTACTGATGATTGCTGTTGCAGGTTATTTTTACGTAAGGAACAATTTGACCAGTCACCGTAGGGACTTCCCGCGTGACAGGTATTTCGATTGCGAAAATGTTATGTCGAAATATATTGGCCAAATTGCCACAAATATGACTTTTAACCAGTCAAAGTATGTCATTTTTAATATGTGTATCCATTCTTTAGCAACTAAAGTTCGTTTCAATGCGTCAAAAGTGGTAATCTGACCGTGGTTGCTGTATCTCTTCACACGCGATTTCACCTAACTTCATGAAAACAATATTAAATGAAATTTTGAATAAAATTACTAAAATATATTACAAACACATGTCCAGATATACAATGAACACGTTTTAATTAGAAGATAGTATAATGATGGTACTGAAGTGCTTACTTCAGTTTGGTTTTGCTGACTGGTATTTCCGGTGTTATGTGCTTGCGGTGATCAGCTGATAATGTTTTGTGAGATGGGGAAAAACATCTGTCGGTGTAAAACCTGAGCTTATAAAAAATGTAAGTACGTTTTGGGGAGCCATGCGTTACCGCTGGCTATAACCAAGTTAGCGGTTTATTGAAAGGCACAATAGCAAGGAAAAACTGTACTTGAGATTTGCGTTCCGTATTGTGGCGTATCGATAAATGGGCCCACGTTTATCGTATATCGTACCGTGGGTCAAGTATCGCGATGCATAATATCGGTGTATCGTTTCACCCTTAGTATCTGTTGGCAAGTTCTTGTTCTTAATTTGTTGTTTAACAACACATTCAGCAATATTCCAGCTATAGGATGGCGGTATGTAAATAATTGAATATGGACCAGACAATCCAGTGATTGACATAATGAGCAACTGGGATATGATGACATGCATTAACCAAGTCAGGGAGCTTGACCACCCTATCTCGTAAGCCGCCTCTTACGACAAGCATGGGAGTCTGAAGACAAATTCTACCCCGGAATCTTCATGGGATGGCAACTTATTGTACATAAGCCAGTGTTCTCCTGACACAAAGGTTGTTATGGGAATCTTACCTTGCCATATCGCTTGTGGTATCTCTTGAGAGCCTTCAGCTTGAGGTACTTCTCCTTCTGTTCAGGGTCTGTCTTGTACGCCTTTATACTACCTGAAATAGCAAGCAATGTCTTACCCTCACCCATTCTACTTTCAGTGAGTATGGTTTAATGTCGCTTTTAGCAATATTCCAGCAATATCGCGCTGGGAGATACCAGAAATGGGCTTCACACATTGTACCCATGTCGTTGGCGTGACGAGCGAATGCTTTAACCACTAGGCTACCCAACAGCCCCTTCTACTTTCAAGTCTATAGGGTCACATTTGGGTATCACCAGGAAAAGCTGTTGCTGATCAGCCTAATAGTTCTTGGCAAAACTGCCTGCCGGAATATTGATATACAGCTATTGTTCTGGAAGAAATACAACATGGCTGCTATGAAATAAAAATAATTGACTTTTTTAAATGCTCTGGTGTAAGAGCATCAAGAACATTTCTTTTCATTATTAAAACATACATAAGCAATCAATGAAACAGGGGACACAAAACAAATCTAGGTATATAAGTGGCATAGCCATAATTCTATGATAATTAAACAATAAGAGAATTATGCTGCATTATAAATTAAATTGTTACTATGAGGATCTAACCTAACGTCTCCCTTTCCTGCTTGTGAGTGTGCAGATACTTCCGTCTCTTTTCTTTGAGGACATGTTGGAGGCGCTTGAACTGGTCGATGTACAGGGACTGGAGCCGTATCAGCTTGTCTCGCAGGATCAGGGTTGCCTCCTCTGCTGTGTATACACCTGCATGTCTACAAACAAACATTTTCACATGCATTATCAACCACTATATGACTGGTAAGGATACAGACATAGGTGAGTGATTTATCTGGGATTTTAAGCTCAGTGTCAAGGCAGACAAATTCAGAAGAAAAAAAATGAGTTTTTGTTAGTATCAAGGGTTCACATTCTCTTTATTAGTCATGATCAGTGAATTACACAGTACAAATATCTTATGTAAAGGATACAAACATTTGATGACCCTTTGGGAAATAATTGAGCTACCACTTACTTGAGTGGGTCTTCCTGTTCGCTGTCGATACTCTCTGCATCGCTATCTCCATCACCTCGCCATGCTTGGTCCACTAGAGGCGACTCTGTCTCAGAATCACTTGAACTGGCATAATCTACGAATTAAACAGCAGGAAGAGCTTGAGTACTTACTGTCATCCACAGAAAGTATAAAAGGAGAACAATATGCTTTGTTTAACTATGCAGAACTGAATATAATGTTCCATTTAAAAAATTGTACTTTTATTTTCTGTATTTTGTATCATTTTACCCAAAATCTAAACTACCAGCTTCTATTATCACCTCCCACCTAGACTATTCATCTATAAATTTTCTCAATTCTTTGTCCATCAGGCTATTGCTTCAGACAGCTTTTGACATTGCAAAATGAAGTATACAGATCTAAAAAATATGCTTCCTAAACCTTCAAACATAAGTATACTTCAACTAGTATTCATCAGTAGCTATCTTTGTCTGAAATCACTTGTATTTATACTCTTGCAATTGTCTTTCTTATCAATGGGAAGTATTTCCTGGGAGAGTTTCCTACCTAGGACCTTGTTTGCAAGGCTATCGGAGGGCAGCCGTGACTTGCGTGGGTCTGGCACAGCTGGCTCAACCACTGTGGCTGCAGGGCCATGGTGCTGGGCTAATTCTTCTAACAGACTCTCCGATGTTTCTCTAGGCTTCTTCTTACGCTGAGCTCTCTGTCTCAAGATGGCTGCCTTCTTAGCATGATCGTGACAGTAGCTAGAAGGTAATATAAGAATGTGGTGCTAAAAGTGCATTATCAACAGACAACAATTATCAGGGATAGACAGGGATAGACAGGCATACTAGTCTGTTAGTCCAAGATTCTGATAATCAAGGTGAGGTGAAATGGCGTTTAATGTCGCGTTTAAGATTATTGTTCACGCTTCAACAGGTTAGTTATAATAAAATATGTTTGACAAATTTGTTTTTAAATATACCGTTGTATTTATGACTCATTGTATATTTTTCAACTCTTGCTGCTAAATGGCCAAAAAAATGCAGATGCAATGTTAACTCACTCAATGGGTCAAACATTTTCCACAATATCAATGTCAGCACTAGCAGTCTGTGACATAGGCTGTACACAACAATAGGCTTCAAGAAATTAAAAAAGTGGAGTTTTTCTTTTTAGACTGTTTCATAAGTAAAAATAAACGTAAGTACTTTTAATGAAAATGACCGTGACCATGAGGCACTGTTCACAAAATTTGAGCATGCCATTTCCCATTTTATGTGTGCCATGGGAAAGGTGGCAAAAGTAATTTTGAGCCCTGCAAAAGCTTTATGTGATTGTATAACTAACAGAACAGTCATGCAATGAAATTACAGACAGGTAGAAATACTATCAACATGATCAAAGCTATTATATACATGTATCTTGTATATACCAGCTCTCACTGGTACTATGGTAGTGTTGATTGTTTGACTAAATCAATGAGACGTCTTTCATTTATTATATACAACAGGGAATTGAAATTAAAGTGTGTATTAGAGTAACCTCCCCTTAGCAAATACTTCAATAACAGGCTTCAGTATTGATGACAACGCCCCAGCCAAGAGTACTCGTTTGGAGCCCTAGCATGTATGTGTGTGGCTGATTGTACTCGTCCAGACTAATGCTGGTTTTGTAGTGCAAGCCCACTGACACACCATGCCTCAGTTTAACATGGACAGGAGGACACCCCACCCAGACAAAGCCAACCAGTCCTCGCCGTATCCCCTTAATGCTGAGTGCCAGGCAGGGTAACAACAAGAATCTGTTAATGTCTTTTGGGATAATGTGGCCGGGCCCGGGGGATCAAACCAGCAACCCTCTGCTCCAGGCAGACGCCCTATCCACTAGACCCGGGAGGCGGTCAGTGAACGGTCAACCCATGATTATGAGACATCTTGTAATAAATATATCTTCTGTAACCACCATTACACAATGAGTACAATAATAAAGAACATAAAATCCATATGACTATATGATTATCTTGCTTCTCCATCCCAATCATGATAAATATTTGCACAAAGTAACTGGCTTAATTTGATCATCAAGGAGTGCAAGTTTCTCTTACCCTTCCTTGCGGTCAGACTTGGGTGCAGCATTAGGGCATCTCTTGCCGTTCTTCCCAGACACAAAACTGCACTGTTTGAAGGGACTGTTTTTATCTTCAAGGATATGCTTGAGGCAGTATTCCGAGTCTTTGAGACGGTTCTGCATGCATGTCCTGTGGCTGTAGTTGCAGAACAGCCCTTCGGCTGGCAGCCTCCCCTTGACACCACGGAGAGCTTGGACTCTACCTCGCATCATGGCTACAGGAAACTGTCTGAAAGATCCATATTATTCATCAATTTAACATGTTCAAGAAAATAATTGACTAACTTAAGGGTAATAAAATTAATATAAAAATATGGGATAATAGTCTCGATCCAAATGTTACAACGCGTACACTTGAGCAGACTCATGAATATAACTCATGAATATTAATTAGACCGTTTACTACGTTAACAGATCGTTATTATAACAGAAACAAACGTATGTTTTCCATCTTTATCTAAAATGATATTATTTGTTATTAATTGTCCGGTGAATTAAACAATTTAAATTGAAACAATTCATAATTCATCATATTATAAATACGTAAACTTGTAATGTGTGTGAAAAGTTGTACTAAAATATGCCATTTGAAGGGGGCGTGGCCTAAATGCAAATGTCCGATTGGGATTTTAAATTTTCAGGACCCCTGGATTGAGGTAATGAAACAAAATTAAAGTAACTACTCAAGAATTTACAGAATCCAAAATATTGTGTCCTAATGCACAAAATTAAAATGCAATGACAGAATAACTACAGTAATTATGGTAATATGAAAGAAATCAAGTGTTCTTTAACCTCTGTTAGGAGTGATAGAAACAAACAGTTTTCGTCCACTAGTCCTTATAAAGATAACATACAGCAAAACCTGAAAGGGCACATTTCTACTAGTCCTTATAATACCTCAACTAGTGGGCAGTTTGGCAAGGACTACAGGACTAGTGCCAATTTCTTACGCTGTTTAGGTAGTACATTAAAAATGGATGCATTTAACATGTTTAACATCCTCTGTGACTCTAATCTGAACTTAAGAGTAGGGATAAATTGAAAAGTTGGAGGGAGTTAAATTGTTGGTGAAACCGAATAGCATGGGCATAGTTCTTTAGTTTCTTGTTTAATGCCGCACTCAGCTATATTCCAGCTATATGACGGCAGTCTGTAAATAACTGAGTCTGGACCAGACAATCCAGTGATTGACATCATGAACATCGATCCACGCAACAGGGATCGATTGTTTTCACTAAGTTTTGATTGAACAATGACATCTCCATCTAAAATATGAAAAAAGACAGCACACATACTTTGTATGCTTTTATTTATTAATGCAGTGATTACCCTCCTGTGACCCCCATCTCAATGCCTAAAGATACAACCCCAAAAATACTCAAAAATAGAACTTCGAAGTTCCAAAATCATTATAATGAGGTGCGACAACCTTATCGGTGACATCCAAAGGGGTCAATTCATCATGTGACAATACATTGTCTGTATTGCAGAAAGAGTTAGACAATGTGGTGTTTCGAGTTCCGAAAATATCAGGGTGCAACATGCAATTAGTACCTGGAAGATTGCGTCATGTGACCGGTGCATTAATAGTTTGATCTCCTAGACATATTATGCATGTAAATAATTCGTGTTTTTTAAAAACAACAACATTATTTGGGGAGGACAAGCGTAATTTTAGGCACCAAGTGTAATTATTACGCCAAAAGCGTAATGGCTGGCATCACTGCATATGCCTCAAGCTATTACCACTGAATAATAAGGCATAACCTTGATAACTATTAGCATTATGTATGTGCTAATGACATGACTCCTAAGAAATTATATGTATTGATGTGGTATGTTATTTATTTATCTGAAAATTGAATTTTGATTCACATCAATATTTGTAGGGCACTCACCGTGTTTATGATTGAACCTCAAGTGACTAAGACCCGTAATCCTAAAAAGGTGTTTCCATTACATAAAAAACAAAAGCAATCCCATATCCACATTTTTCTGAATGCCACCATATTCCCCCCACTCAGGATACATTGCAGTCTTTGGCCCATGTCCTGAATCAAGTTGGCCCAAAACTTTCCAAACCCAAAACATGTATCAAGAACCATTTTGACTTTACCAAATGGTGTGACTGCTGACCTCAACAACATCAATCTACAATCATATTTGATCCCTATTGTTGTCAAATGCAGTATAACATGGTCGTGTGCCTCAAGCTACCCTAAATAGGTACCTCAATGGTTCATGTTTAATCATGTTAATCGCATCACTTCTGGTACAGGTTTGAACAATGCAAGATACCTTAAGAACATAAAGTCTCCAGCTACAGGAAGAAATTAAAAAATGATTTTCAGCTTACAAATCCTTGGCCCTCAATTTCTGCCAATGCCATGAATTATTATTCTGAGTTGAACTACCTTAAAGGGCTTGGACGTTGACGGTTCTGGGTATGTCAAGATCATGCAGGAAATAATTTCCGAGTATGATGTCACACCTTTAGTTCATGCCTGATTCTCAAACCAAAACAGAGCTCCATACAGCTAAGCCGACAACCCAAAAGCTGCTGAGAGCACATGGCCTTGGCCATGTTTTTCATATAAGGGGCAAATTGAAGGGAAAGGATGAGTTACAAAATCTTAATTTCCAGCTTGATTGGATTCATTGTTTATTAAAGCCTAGGTTACAACATAAGTGCCTCGTTCCTATGAAGCCAATCACGTTGCAAACACGATGGGCACGTCCCTTGGTGGAAATCAGTGTAACTTCAAAAATATGACATTTGCTACTTTTTGAAAGTAGGTCAGTGTGAACTGTCATCACTTCACCATTTCACATGTCTTTAAGTGATAGAACTACATTCATAAGACTTACACAATATCTTCAGAAATACACCTGTAACCAATGACTCAAAGAAAGATGTACCAAGTTTCATTGACCTGCAACAAGTCCTTCTAGAGTAAGGCGGTAAACAATTTTTTTCCAACTATGACCTTGACATATCAACTCATGAAAATAATTTCCTGGGCTACAATGGAGATATGATCATGATATCCCAAATAAAACAACAAAGTGCAGTGTTTGGAGTCAAATTCATTACCAAATCTTTCAAACCATGCTAGTAAAATGTATTAAGACATCACTTTTGTCATCTCGCAAAAATGTCAACTTTAAAGTTTTCAAACATTTTAACATAAAATCTAATGTTTGTAGGTTTATTTCATAATCAGTGACACTAATCATCAATCTATACCAGAAAACAAACATTTTGCATGCTCAGGTGAATCAAGCAGTGTCCCAAATTATGTATGAATTATAAAGTCAAGTGAACCTTATGGTAAAAGATAAAGACTTAGGGAGGCCCTAGATTCAAATAACAAAGCCTGTTTTATGTCATTTAAAAAAAAATATAACACTAATGTCATCCTGCTTTAAGCTCACGAGTCAAAGCATCTTTATCCAGTAGTCACAGGTAGGATCAAGACCTGTGAATGGGTTGTAAACTGTGAAGGGCTGTTTTCTAAAATGTAAACCTATGGACAGGACTATTTCAGTATTTGCCTTTTAACTTCAAACATATATCAGCTGTTTTCAGTCCGCGAGGTACCGCTACAGTGACAGCCAAAAAGCACAATGCATTATGCAACGATAACATGACGATCCCATCAAATATGGCGCCAGTCCAAATGAGGTCACGACAGCAATGTATGGTGGGATACCTCCTCGTTCATAACACATCGCCATGTTCAATGGCCGGATGAACATGGCGCGGGCCGAGCTCTACACTGAATACCTTCAACAACGTTCAATTCGCCTTCAGCGGCAATAATGAATACATTCGGCTGTAACATGGATATGAGTGTCTACCTGACTGTTTCTGTTGTGTTCTGTTAATGATCACAGATATTATTCCTGGGAACTCAAACTGTATACTTGGAAATATTGCACCACAGATTGACAGTGTCCTTCTTTCGGAACAGACATAACTTAACAGGTGCGCGACTTTCATAATTTATTTTATTTGTATATTTAAATCATTCACAGCAATGTTTTATGTAGTAATTTAATTTTATATCATAATAAATTGACCTAAATAAAAATATGCGTTTATTGTATTTTTCTTTATTTTTATGTTCGTTAGTATCATCCAATGAAATTTAGAGAAATGGTATTTTCTGCTGTCCTTGCTTGTTGTGCGCATGCGTGTCTGTCTGTTCGTCTCGGCACTGGGTAAATGGCGGAACGATGGATCTTCACCAAAGAACAACTTCAAAATACCCCAAGCCGAAAAGGCGGAATAGACTACGCAAAAGAACTCGCCTATAGGCAGCAGGCGGCCAACTTGATTCAGGACATGGGCCAAAGACTGCAAGTGTATCCTGAGTGGGGGGAATATGGTGGTATTGTTAGCCCACTCGCATGGCATGGTCGGTGTCGATCGCCATTTGCATTTTCTGTGATTCCTACTACGTTGTTTTCTAGTGAAACTACCGTCGACGAATCATTCCGATGATACACGTTTATCAGTCACGTTTTGTGCCGTATCTTCGCAACGAGTTTTAAACCCAGCCGAGATGAAGTAATCGTGTTACAAAACATTGTCCCGCACCCGGTGACCCCGCCGCTGAATCACGTGGTTGTGTATCTTCTCAAATGAAAATTAGAATTCGTTAATAAAAAGTAAGTTCATGTGAGGTGGTTTGTTTCTAGTGACAAATGAATCACATGAACTAGGTAATGTGGTGTATCAACGCCAAATCGTAACGGTTTTTCAGTAGTTGAACGATGGAACACTTTCAATTTAGATAGATCATCAGTGAAGGGCTATAGGCCCAAGGAATATGATACCGGTGTATTCCTGCTCTATTAATTTAAAAGGACTAATTATTGCGGAAGGATTACTATGCGCTCAGGGTATGTTACTTTTCCTAAGTGAGCGAATTGGTCTTCACAAATAACAGAAGTAATCATGGTAATGAACTGCTGTGCACTTTTAAGTTATAATGCGATGGGAAGATTAGGACAAAGACAGAGTAAAAATCTGAACATGAAGTAATGTGTTAAAGCAATTACATTTTGTGAAATAACAGATAAGGCTGCCTTAATTCTTATTCAGGAGTAGTTAGAAAAGTTGTCTAACATGTTCAAGGAGATTAATATAGACGCTTTTGGATATTTTGTCAATATCTTGAGAATTATTGTGAATTAAGATATGTGAACCAGACAAATGGTCATTAGGGATAAAATAATTGACTGCCAAACGTTCTAGTTTCATGTGCTTTCACCTCATATCGTCATCACTATTATCTATAGTTTATCAGTGTTTTAGGCCGTTGACTGATTGTTATCCAAACTGTCATGAAGATTGTTTTACACGAGATAAATATATGTTAAAAATTTATACAAACATGAAGATGTTGAAATTCAAGTGTCCTTGTATTGGTTTTGATTTGAACTTGATGAGGGCCAAAAGTGGTCAAAGGAGAGCTTAGTTTTCCAAAAGTTTTAATCAGTTTGTGTTTGGGACTAGAAGTTGATCATATTAATATTCAATTGTCTCATTAGTTTTAAAAACACATTTACAGATGTTTGAGTAAATTTCAAACATCTCCATGAAAGTAATTTAAATTTCATACCTTGTATGTGTCCATTGCATTAATATCAATTCATTTTCCATCAAGTAAAGTTTCTAAAACATTGGATGAGTTTTAACATATATGCTTATTCCTGGGTTTGGATCAAAATTAGTAATGGACAATCCCAGAGTCTTGAGCCAACTGTTTTGGTTTCCTTGTCAAATTATGAGTCCTAGTCCTAAAAATTCTAATTTTTAACTACTGTAAATAACAAAGGCACTAGGGATGTCGCGATACAAGTGCTACTCAATACGAAACATATCTTGATAGTGCTATACAGCAGTTCGTGCGGTTAACCTAGTCATTTGACTGAGAATAGTCCATAGACTCGCGAATGAAAGTAAAGGAAAACTGACTAATACCCATCAACATGATACCGAGTCAAGTCAACTATTCTGTATGATAAAATAACACAAACAAGTTTACGCACTGTATTATGACGGGCAGCAAGGAAAAGTTGGTCAGTCTTGTTATCAGTTTGGTTTTGTATCCGAAAGATGACCAAGAAAGTTATGAGGAATTAAAAAATGTAGTTTGTACTTGCTTATTGAGAGTGAATTGATGCCAAAATAAATGTATTTGGTATCGTATCGTGCAAAGTTTGCTGATGGTGTACCAGTGAATCACAACTTCACTAAAAGGCACTTTGTTTGGAATCTTAGATAAATCTGACATTCACAATAATAGCCTGTAATTTCTAATCAAATACCGGACATTTTGTTCAATTTCCTTCAAAGTGATCAACTGGTCTATGGCAGTTTTTCTGTGAAATTGTGTAACATGGGTTTACGTGTATGGTTGGACTTGCTAGGAAGTTAAAACATTCATCATCCGTTACTGCACACCATTAGAAGTGCATTGACACAAGAACAACTAATTAACATTGAGTAAGCATTGGTGTAGGGTCTGTAAGTTCCAATTAACAGCCTATGTTACTCTCTGATACAGTTTAATAAAGTGGAGAAGACTGTCCATAATGTAGATAAAGTCCGAATCTGGAATATCACTTGGTATATTCTGAAATCATTCGAATCTATTAATACCAAGTTTTTAAAAAGAATCTTGTATATACAAATACTGATTTAGGGTGGTTGGATAGCCTTGTGGTTAAAGCGTTCACTCGTCACGCCAAAGACCCAGGTTCGATTCCTGAGATGGGTACAATGTGTGAAGCCCATTACTGGTGTCCCCAGCCGTGATATTGCTGGAATATTGCTAAAAGCCGCGTAAAAATACATACTCACTCAAATACTGATTTATGGCACCAGGTAATGTGATGATTATACACAGTTGTTAATCTGTAAATCATAAGAATTAGTTTTGCAATGTAGAATAGTTTATGATAGTTAAATGCTGAACTTGTGATACAATCACAGTTTTCCCCCAGAAAATACAGCTGTGTAGTCGGGATGCTCTAAAAAACAGACAATGTGTTTTGACTATTTTTCCCCAACACAGACATTACCTTGACGCAATAATAAACAAGTTAGTCCTGTTTTTACCTTTTCTGGTTATAAAAAAATGTTTATTGTATATCTTGCCTCATGTTTGTAATCTATTTTCAAAGTTTCAATTAATATTCACATTAATTTCGGTGGAATCGGGTGTGGGACTGATCGGCACATCGTAGCAACTCGTTCATCAAAACGGCAACCACGATCAGATTTCCGCTATTGAAATGAACCTTGTTTGTCGGAGAATGGATACATATATATCTTAAATACCATACAGCTAACTGAAAGAAGTGTCTGATACGTATCGCGATGTCAAGTTTATACTGGAATGGTTTAACACATTAATATAATATTGCATTCATTGAATATTGTTTACATATAACATTTCCGTGAAATCGTGAATGAACTGATCGCACAGCTTACCGTTACTTTCAGCAATTTCGCCATTGATGCCTTGAAACGAACCTTAGGTGTCAGATGGATACATACACGTATGTCATAAATGCCATACCTAGACACTTTAAAAGTTGTTTTTGTTATTGTTTGACTATTATATTTCGACATATTGTTTTGATTCACATTTGAAATAGCGCAACCGTGATAAACTTCAGACATTCACTCGTCAAACTGTTCCATTTGTAAAAAGTAGCAAGCAACATACCAAAGTGCTTCAGTTATTATTTTAAAGTGAAAGAAAGGCAGTGGTTGGATCTCTAAACAATGGTCGTCTATTTCCTATAATTAAGTCACAAATTAACTTTGATGTAATTTACCGTGCATTTGTTTTGTTTATCAGAATTTTTATTTAAAATCTCCTTTTAGACACCTCCTACTACACTTGATAATAAATGTAAAAGCAATAGGAATTAATTTGATTTACATCCGTGCCATGGATTGGGGACATCTCGTGTTCAGATGTAGTTTTGTTGTTGTTTATATTTTGTCTTAGCATTATAATTAAATACAACCATAAAATTAGACAGTCAGGTCTATTATTTCATGTCAATTCAAGATGATCCGGCTATCTTCACTTGGCTTGGCAAGCCTATAGGCTCATTTAAGCTTTATTTGCAGAAAAATATAAGTCCACTGTGTATCAGATTATAGATGGTGTTTATATACCAATATTGTCTAGTAAAAGTAATTTCGAACGAAATGGGAAGTTTCACTGTCACGTGTCAAGGCTTTCAAACACGGACTGCAACTAAAAAACTTTATATTGCTTGACATTTGAATATATTATTCCTGGTAAAATTATAGTTTCAGATACAATGTCTTCTGGATAATTTTTGGACTCACCCTATTTTTAAAAATTGATGTAACAGGAAACACTTTTTTTATGCCTGATACTATCTGTCACTGTTATACTGTTATTGATAATGATACTGTTAAGCAAAGCCGTTATCAAGGTGAGGAACTTTCAATATCTCTAGCAACATATTGTAAAGTGTTAATAGTCTAGATTAATTAGCCAGTAGAATGCACAGCATCCTGCTTTTATTATTTAGTTTTTAAAAATAAGGGTTTCCAGATGTAGTGCAATCATTCTCAGATAAAGTTGAATACTTTAGACTCGGTGACTTGGTTCATGGCTTGTTCTGGTACCCTGACAGTGGGGATCATTGCTCACAATATTTTAACTGGATAGTCTGGTCCAGACATGATTATTGACAGGTTGTCGCCATATAGATGGAATATTGAATAGTGCTGACATTCTTAATCATGTGAATCAGGAATGTGAACTGCTAGTTTCTCTTTGTCCTGACTTTGCTGTTGCAACCTGTAATAGAGATCTATTTGTTATGAACAGGCAAATATACACTACTAGACTAACATCTACTCTCTGGAATGAACATATTTTACAGAAAAAAACCTTTTTGAATTTTTATTTAAAAAAAAGGAGCCTAGTGACTTTCTTCATTTTCAGATACTGCAGTAATCTAGACTTGGATAAATATATTTTTTCCGGGTCTGTTTGACAGGCTAATAAACAACTTGCTTGCAGACAGGCTAATAAACTACTTCGTGCACACACACACATACAGGATTTTATGCGACAAACAAATTTAGAGAATGTATGCAGAAAAGAAATTGTACTAATTGGACCTACAGCACATCATGAGCAGTTAAGAGTGTCTGTCATATCATCCATCAATCACGACCAGGACTGCCTCGTGGTCTTGTGGTAGAGCGTCCACCTGGAGAGCGGAAGGTCCGGGGTTCGATTCCCGGCTGCATCCTACCAAAAGACGTTAATAGATGGTACTTGTTGTTACCCTGTCTGGTGCTCGGCATTAAGGGGCTAAAACAAGGACGGGTCGGCTCGGAGTCAGTATACTGTGTCTGAGTGGGGTATTCATGTTAAACTGCGGCATGGTTTCTTAGTAAGCTAGCACTATAAATCGGCAACAGTCCGGACTAGTACAAGCAGCCACACACACAAACACGTGCATGCACGTTGCTATATAAGTGCAATAATCTTGGACACGACGTTAAACCCAATTTCACCTCACCTCAATCACGACCACCATTACTCTACTGGATCATTTTGCCTGCAAGTATCCTTAAAATTAATTGTTTGGGGTCCCCTGGACACCCATTTTTGTAAGTAAAGGTAAAACCCTTTATATCTATATTCTCGAGTCTCATCGCCAAAAGAAAAGTGAATCATAGAGACAGAGAGACAAATGGTGCATCTGGCATCATGGATCTGACGTAATATGGGATGGGTTCATGGGCATCTGTTCACACAGCATAACAGTATGTTCATTTGTGCATCAAACAATCTGACATCTCTTGAATATGAGTATTTTTTCATTTATTAAACAAAGTGTTATGTTCACGTTTCTTTTCTCAGTGAGTATATATATATATATATATATATCTACTATTGTGTACTTCATCCAAGGGTGGTCGCTAGGGAAAATGTATGTGGTGATGTGTGTCTAACAGGAAACATGTTTTCTGATAAGCTAAGTACAATGCACACAACTGATTACACTGATATTTGATATTGATTTGAGGCAACAGGGATGCTTGATCCTTAAATAGGGAATCAAGACGGGGTGGTCAATGAAGATATAGATCACATGTGCGACTTACAAGCAGGTCAAGCATATGCCTGGGATCGTGTATTGGGTGCGATAGGGTATTTTGTTAATCCAACTGATTTGGCATTCTGTTTTAAGGGCTGAAACACCTCTTCAATTTTACAAACAACAGATGACATTTATATTTTCTTTTACATTCCTAAAGAGGCATGATCCTGTTAACTTCAAACACTTGATATTTTTAGGAAGACATTTTAGCGATCACTTTACTTGATTGCTTTGTTCAGTGTTTAAAAGATCATAGGGTAGCACTAGCAGCTATTGCCATGATAGCTCATCTTTTCAAAGGAAATCTAAATTTGGATTATGGTCATTTGAGAATTGGGAAATTCATTGCTGGCGACGATATTAGATTTGAAACCAATATGTGACATGTTTTGGAAAAATAAACAATCCTGGATATGTACATTGTAGTGACTAATTGTTTATATTAAGGGCAGTATAACTGTTTATGTTGTCCTGCTAGTCAGTTCATGTCAGACAATAGGGATTGTGAAACAACACCCATGACATAGATACCTGTGTGAAAACCAGGGCATACCAGTGATTGTGTGTTGTTAAACCTTGAGGAAATTGCTCAGATAGTGAACCACTGTTCAGTTGGGGCAATGGCAGCCATGCTTTAGCTGTTTTTTCTGACTTCTCTGTGGATTGTTTCAATTGCTTGGAAACATTTTTTCTCAAAATCTTAAAACACGAGCCACATAATATTGGAAACAAGTGACTTATAAATCAGCATGCCAACTGGGCCTTATGAACTAATTATGCATATATAACTACTTTGCCAACTCTGGGTTCATAATAAATGTATCCCCCCAAAAAGGTTATGTTAATTTTGAGACAAGTGGAGTGTCACCATTAGATCGGTGAGTGCATTCTGTAATCACTACCTGTGGGGGATATAGTCGACGCCTTGTCTGTCTGTTCGTAATCAATCCTTTATGGAGCACAACTCCAAAACCGTTCAATAGCTGGAATGTTGAGTGCACCATTAAACAAGAAGAAAACAAACAAACCTTGTTTGCATATCAATGTGCACATCTCATATGGTAATAACTGATTTTAAAGTACCGAGTTTTTCTTTTTCAATGTCTTCCTACAGTGCTGAAGGGGCTCGTTTGACTTAGTGGACTGATGTATAAATATTTATGTAATATCTTGCCAAGTTGACTTCTTTCAGTATGTCATGTATTTACAAATGCCATTGATTTCTACCTTAACTTGAATCAGTAATCAGCTGTGTATCAACACAGCCATAGTCTACATGCACAGATTCTACATGTTCCAGAGCTTCCACAGATTCCACAGAAATGTGAGTACTCTTTGTCCCTGTGTGACCTCATGGTAGCATATGGGAGTATTCCCTCTCTTCGATCTGATCCTGGAAAATCATTATGTAAACTATTCAGATTAAGAGAATTTGGTTTGCTCTGTCACAATTAGCATTAATTAGCATTAAAGAATTTGGCAACAGGTAATAAAATGTCAATACATCCTTATGGCACACTTAAAGGCAATATTGATTTTGCCGCATGGGCCATCTATGTGATACGTTCAAAATCGATTCTTTACATGGTTACATGATATTGCTATTATCCATTTCTGCTAATTTCAAGTAATTGTTTAAGCGACCTTACCTGTGCTAGGGTTTCTGTGATTTGTTAGAAGATCTGAAATAATTGATGTTTTTAGGTTGTAATGTTGATGTGTACTTCCAGGTGATTGCTCCAGCGTGTCTTTTTCTGGCTGCCAAGGTGGAGGAACAGCTTCGGAAGTTGGAACATGTCATCAAGGTTGCACGGACGTGTCTCAACAGAGAAGCTCCTCCCCTGGATACGAAGAGTGAAGTAAGCATGGAGCAGGCTATATGGGAATGGACACATTTGTGTATAGTTGCAGGGACGCAGTAGGTCCATGTGTTAAATCCAGTAGACAATACCATAATTAACCAGCCCTCTATGTAGCGACCATTTTGGTGGCCAAAATCAACTTAAATCTATGATTGGCGACCTAAAAATATCTGCTGCTCGCTACTTGGCTACCTAAAAGTAAACACATGGGTGGCCCAAACGTCTAAGGCGCTGCAATTCTCTGTGCAGAGTTGTGTCCCTTGGGCACGCCTGAAACCTATGATTGTGGGTTTGAATACCGGTTCACTCCGATTGTGTTTCTAAGTTTGTCGGTACCAGACTTGTGTTCGTGGGTTTCACCGAAGTGGTAAACGTCTGAGACCTGCATCAATTAGGGCTTTCCATCCACATTAAGCTGACACACTGTAATAAAACTGGAATACTGTTAAAAGTGGTGTTAAACACATCTCACTCTAAGACAAGTGGCCATAATGCAAAACTTGCTTGGTTGCAGGACTGAGCAGAGCAAGTTCTACAATAAAACAAGCCTGATGTACAAAATTTCAAAAGTGCTGGTTTCATTTGACAGATGTATATATCTGTAGGTGTGATATGGTTTACCAGGGTTTCATTCTTTGTCCAAAAGCAAGAGTTTTCACGATGACCTATTAGGGGTAACAAATCGTGGAAGGTTCAGTGCACAGTGATACGAGTACCACATTTTTTGTGTGTATTGTATAATACCTACTTTTTTTTTACTAAAGTGCACAAGCTAGTCCTGTTCCGTTATTTGGTTATTAAAAGAGTTGATTGTACATCTGGCTTTGTAATCTATTTCAGTCAATTTTATTTAAAACAGTGTTTTCATTAATTTACAATTTGAAACATACCTTGGTTGCCAGAGAATGGAGACCTATCATACATTGACTCAAAAAAATGTCATAGTTGTTATTACTTGATTGAAATAATAAAACCATAGGAAGCTTTCATGTTGTTGATATGTCAGTATGGAAGTATATGGAATGTAATCTGAATTATTGATACATCTCTGACAGTATAGATGTATATGCTATTGTACACAATCTGTTCTTTTTTACTCCAAATTTACTACCGTATTCGACGTCATAAGCGATATTTGCTAATATATTGTCTAGTGAACAATTCGAATAAGCACCCCTTCCAATTGATCAATGTACACAAGACTTATTTTTTCATGTGTTATTTGCACCCTTAATTATGGGCAATTAAATTCTGGAAAAATATATCTGTTGTGTATAATAGGTACAGACTTTTCTTTTGTATCATTTCAGGCTGTCAGCATAAACCACCAAAATTTTATTCTAATAAGAGCCCCCTATTTCTAATTTTGAGAGCGCCCTGGGTGCTTTTTACGTCGGATACAGTAATTGTTTTGATGGGCCATGTTCATCACCTTCAGTCTTGTTACCTTCTCTCATGTCACTGACCTTCTTTTTCAGGCATATTTAGAGCAGGCCCAGGAGTTGGTTGTCAATGAGAATATTCTACTTCAGAGCTTAGGTAAGCCATCTTTCAGATCTTGCGGTTGTTGGGAATTTTGTATTATTTGCTCAAACTTTAAGATTTCAAAGACTTTTCTAGAGTCTGTTCTTGATGAACAGAATAGTGTACACCAGGTGTGCTTTCAGAGCAGACAAACTTTAGAATTAAGACTTTGCTGCATGTGTCGTTGTAGTATCATGGCAGTGTGGATTGTTGCTCATGCATTAACACATTGACCTGTACTTGTCTGTTTAGACTGCCGTGATATAGGTTAAATATAGCTAACTACAGAGTAACATTAGGCCTTATCTTTTTTAGTTGGATTAAGAGATGGACTGACAAAAGAAAATTGAGATTAGAAAAAGATATGACCTTTGACCTTTTTTATTTTGGCCAACTCTGTTTTACAAATTGGGTGAATCACAGCTGTTTGTACAAAATGGTGAATAATATGAATAACAGCCTTTATTCTAACAAAAAAAAACAATCCACTATCTTTTGGTATCTTGCCATGTTAAAACATTGTATTTTCATTCATTATTAGTACTACTAATCTGGAAATCAAAATTATTTTGTATATTTTTTCAACTCTGTAGACCAACAAATAATAAAAACTTACTCTATGATGTGACACTTGGTGGCCCCATGACAGGTTTGTTTTGTGATTTCAGGGTTTGATATTCAAGTGGATCATCCGCACACTCACGTGGTGAAAACGTGTCAGTTAGTCCGAGGTAAGTCCCTCCCCACACAGGTAACTATTACTGGACTCTGCTAGTGAAGTCATGACAGCTTACTTGATAAGATAGTCTTCCTGCAAAGATTATTGGATGACCATTGTCAGTAAATGGGAACTTAGAAATAGAGAATCTCTGGCTTATGAAATTTAATTTTGGTTTTAATCATACTTCAAAGTTTTAGTTTGTCTTAACTGATGTCAAGATCACTTTGACTGTTTGCTTCCCACGCCAAATGCTAAGCACTAGACAAGAAAATTAACTTCTTTGGACACATTTGGAAGTAATGGGGTATAAGAATATCTAAGATGGCCGAAAGAAGAAAGACAAAATCTGTTATGATGCCTGAGTCATGATTTATCAGTTAAAAAAACCCAAAATTTGATTTTTTTAATGCAACGGGACCAGTCCTTAGTTTATTCATCGTGAATAATCTTGTATGTTAGCCTAGTGGTTAAAGTGTTTACTTGTCACACCGAAAATCTTGTCCTATTCCCCATACAGGTACAGTGTGTAAAGCTTATTGCTTGTGCTCCACTATCTTGATATGGCTTCAAATTGCAATATACTATTGTACACATTCACTCGTTCTAGTAAGATTAGGTTTATCATAGGTATGATAGGTAGGAATTTTACAGATATCGCAATGTATAGAATATTTAGAAGGATGCTTTACCAGCTGTAATTGAAACAATTGTTGTTAAAGTAATGGCATAATCATATAAGAAACACTTTCTTTCACAATCCTCTTAGGTAGGGTTTGAACAAACAAAATATATCATGAGAGATGACGTTAAATATTGAGTTGAAACAGCACAGCTTTTTGCAAAAGTGTTTGTGTGGGTAGTTCATATGCTGGTGTTGGTGATATATGCATTGTGCCCAATAGGAAATGGTAGCATTCTTTGATTTCAGAACTTCTGTTATCTTTTTAAAAAAATTTTTTCTATATATAAATATATATATATGCAAGTTTTTTTTAACAGGTGCATTATGAGTTTCGTCTTGTAATAAGTTTGATTTGTCTCCTTGTAACATTTAACAAGATACAATAATGAGGACAACATTGACAATATTTATGCAGTTTTACACATGAATACCAATTTACAAATAAGATGTTAAAAGAAATTCATTCATGAAGGCCAAAATGAACTCATTCTGCTGTGTCTGCATCCTTTGGCTTTTGTAAACATTCATTTTACCTCATTTAACTAGACAATTCAGTGGCCCAATGTTGTAATGTCATTGGCAACCTGAACCCTTTCTAAATAGATTCTAGCTAGCTAGCTAGCTGCAACAGGGAAAGAGCAAGGCCAATAATTGATATGTATGTACACACTGGTTATAAGATACTACTCAGTGAGTTAAGATCTTATCACAGCAGCCATATGCATTTCACAAATGTACAATAATGGATTGAAGTGACATATGTTTTACACATTTTGATTTTTGATTATCATTATCATATGACATTTGTGCTTGTCAAAAAATATGATTACTCATGAATTTCAAGTATGTTTTTCTTAGTGGTATGTTTTTGTTTTTTTGTTAAACATGTTAAGTGAGCCATAACATTGAAGAAAATTTATATCTTTTCACCTTTCCCGGGCCCCAGGAGTGAGGCACATGGCCTCACCTGTCATTATCAAAGACTGTTATCAACAGTGTAAGAATCATTTCATTGACTCTGATTTCCAAAATCACCAAGATTGACTTTGTGCTTGAATTTTTTCACAGACTGAAATGTAAAGTTACTTCTAGATGTATACCAAACCTTTTGAATAGTACTTTAATCCCATGTTTCCTATTAACCATGTTTACTTCGACAAGATTTCATCCATCAACATTAAAAAAATATTCCATTGGCTTTGATTCCCACTATGCCAGATTTCATCGGGCCGTAGCTAAGTTTTTCTGATGAGCTGCATCAACATGGTAATTCCAGCAAGGGCAATAAACAAACTGGTTGGTATTGATTTGAAACGGTATGACACATGGATGGGAAGATACAGATGACTTTGTACAAGAATGTTTACAAGAGTTGTTAAAGCATGTATTGTACCTGTATGTTTACGAAAATACTGTACTCGATGTTTAGTTTAAGCGAAAATAAAGTTTTGTGTTTTAAGATGTTTTTTAGGCCAGTGTTCTGTTGTTGATAAAAATGTACTAGGACTAAGATTAAAGGTGAAGAATTCAAATGTGAACCGTGTGACATTGAGCTAATGTCAGTCTGTTTTCTCTTTTCCCTTGTGACCCTGTGGTGCTGCTCCTGTGGGGTGTCGTTGGGCGTGTTGTCATGACGACCACCAACCAATCAACAGCCAGCAAGGACCTCGCTCAGACCTCCTACTTTCTGGCAACCAACAGGTGGTCACACGTTCCTTGTCAAAATCTACATGTCCTTTCTGTCTTTCAATCTAGATTCAAACATGTTTACATCATATGCTTTTATGTGTTTGCCATTCATTTAATACCTACCTTCACCTCATACATCCCAGGTCAGCCATAAAACATTATTCATTCGAGAAAACATCAATTCGTGTAAATATATAGGGTTTTTTTTTTGGTTGAAGATATACAAGAGTGAAACTAGAACAGCTTAGTAATTTTCAGAACCAGTGGAGTTGAATAATTACTTTCCTTTTGAAACTGGAAATTTCCAACTGCTTGAAATATGAAAATTCATTCACGAGTTATTGGTACTTATTCATATTTAAACCTTGGCTGATGTGAAGACTGACTTGTAAAACCTTTCATGGCTAGATTTGATAAGGAAGAGTGTTTAATTCTTTTGGACAATTCACCTTGATAAATTACTGCGTTCATAGTGTATATATGGTGCATTGCTTGGACTCCATTGTTTCTTGCATCAATAAATAAGGTTTGATAGATATTGACTGGGATGTAGGAAGAGCTATTAACATTTACAACTCTCTCCATATGTGAAGCAAATACAACATGTATCACGTGTCAAATTAATCAGAATACATGGCATTATAAGGTATCCTTTAACTATTGATTAAAAAAACAAAAACATTTTAAAACCACAACTACATTTTGCTGGATATGCTGAAAAGGGTTTGGTCTTAAAATCTATAATTTCAAGGAAGTAGCTTTTGGTATTAAAAAATGAAGATATTAGTATTCTGATTAATCCTGCTAATTATTTCCTCAAGATTGTACATGGTTAGTTTAACTTCATGCTTATGTACATAGATTTTTAGAAAATATAAATTAGTAACTTTCATGATTGATATTTTAAGCAAATAATGTCTATGAAGGAAATATGTTGGATCAGGAATCTGTCAAAGGGCAGATGTATTCAAAATTTCAATACAAATGACATTTTCTCACCTAATGATTGTTTTTGTAACCCAACTGACGAATTCAAATCCTGTATATGTCCATGTTGCCTTCATTAGGCTGTGACTTTCTTTTCAGCTGCTGAAAAGCTTTCCTGTTGCTGATCTTCACTTTCATTCATCGTCATGGTTGATGTTACTGTGTGCTGATTGTGAGTTTCCTTTTGTTTTCAGTCTCCATCTAACCACCATGTGTCTCCAGTACAAACCGACTATAGTCGCATGTGTCTGTATCCACCTGGCCAGCAAGTGGTCAGAGTATGAGGTAAGAGACTGACACTTGTGTGTACTTGAATTTGAGCTCCACCCTCCTCTCCTCTTCTAAGACAGATATTGATATGACTCCTATATACCACTGGGGAGATTGTCTAAAAAAAATGATTCGATGACCTGGAAGGTCAAGGTCACACAGTATGAACTAGGTAACAAAAAGGTGTACATGGTAGCTTAAGTATTTATGAATTTGTTGTTACTTAGTAAAATGATCTCTAAGGTTTAATTTTTGGGCGATATCCATATAAGGTCAAGGTCACTTAGAGGTCAAATTATCAAACATGTTCAAATTTAACAAATGTTTTGATAGATTCATGAAAAATCTAAGTAGCTTCAACTCACTTACATTACCCTCAGCTCGGTAACAGTCATATTTCCTGGTGTCAAATGTCAAGATCACTATCAAGGTCATGTACTGATGAAATGACTTCTAAATACTTTCATTCTGAAAGTTTTGGCATTGTGATATGGTGACTTTCATTTTTTTGACTGCACCTAAATTTGCAACAAATAATGTTCATGGATGTGGTTGGATGAAGGTCAAGGGCACTCAGTCTGAATTAGACTTCATAGCTTGAGTACAAGATAACTTGATTATTTTTGGAATTTTTTATCTATATGGGACTTTCCTCGAACTTTTTGATGACCTCAGTAAATGGTCAAGGTCACTAGAAGTGAAAATATTATCTCTGTCAAAATATCAGACGAATACATGATAAATCCCAGTTTTTTTCTAGTCAGTTGAGATAAACTCTAAAGTAAAGAACTCCACGCCTATCATATGTCATGATTGTGTCAAAGTCACTTTTGACTAGTAAATACTGTATACTGCTGTCTATAGTGCACACACCGCATTTAATGCAACCCCTGGTAATTTGAGATGATCCCAGTATCTTTACTTCCGGCTTTGTACTGCTGGATTTTGATGTATGTTTTCAGTCAGCTTGCTAGGCAATCTAGATAGAGGCATGGCTCATTTACACTAAATTTGTAGAAAAAATACCCCCCTCATTCCAGATACCAAAACTTGGATTATAGACGTGGTATACAGAAGTTGAATTAAAGAAATATTGTCAGTATGGTTTGCATGGAGTGGACATGGTTGAAACTTCATGTTGTTACATCATCATTTATGTTCTTGTATATGCTAGAAGGTCAAGGTCACTTGGTGTGCTGTAGATGTTTGTGTACACAATATCCTATGCATTAATAATTGGAATTTGATGACATTTTTTGAACATGATCTCCAGTGAGTTCATGGCTAGGGTTGAAGGTCAGGGTCATTTAAGTGCTTTCAATTTTGTTATTAGATTGCAATAGTTATAGGACATTGTGTTTCAAAGTTGTACAGCATTGGGCGCATGTTTTCCCAACCTGGAAGTGACATTTTTAAAACAGAATTGCTTATGACTGTTATTAAAGTAACCAGAAGCATAGGAACTTTTGCTTCAAAGTACATTTTGAATGTGTGAGGTCAACTGTCACCTAATGTCGTGAAGTATGGTTCGTGCATGTTTCTGATGTTTCTGATGTTTCTTAGTGATTGGGGCTTTCAGGAAAAGGTGGAAATGGGCCTGCTTATGTCTTTGCATGTAATGAAAACACCTTTCAAGCCATGAATTTAGTTTTCTTTCAAATCAGCACTTTGAATCAATATCGATGAAGCTACTTATCAGTTTTTACTTCCTATTCCGTTGCTGTCATATCAAATAACAGAAAATAAGCTGTTCATGTGAAGGCTTGATTAATATTCATGCACAGGGCAAAATGGAAATGCTGCATGAGGCTTGATTTAAAATGGTAACGTTTTGATAATGTTTAGAGATATTGCTACATTAATCTTTATCATGATGCACTGATGCAACGAGAGATGCTATGAAGTATACACCACTTTATAGCTAACATGTATTAACTGCATGAGTGATTGTCGAACAATGGATGTAAGTGCAGAGCAGTATCCCTAGTTGTGAAAGTGTTGCTTTCAGGCTGAAGAATCTGTTCTTTCACCACACTTGCTGAGTGCTTCATGACTATGGTGTAGCTGTACTGTGTAGACGATGTGACGCTTTGTCTTTGTTCCAGATTGCGGTGTCTCATGAGGGCAAACAGTGGTACTCCTATGTGGACAGGACAGTCACACCAGAGTTGCTACAGGGTATGGTTGTCATTAACAATCTGATTAATGGTCGATTGAGGATGCAGAAGTACTTTTTATGGCTTAAAAATAAAATAGAATTGGTTCTCAAGCAATGGCTTATGAAAATTATGTGGGTGCGTGTGTGCGTACGTGCGCTCAAGCTAGTATGGTACCACATTTTGTTAACAATAATTTAGGGAAAATCATGTTGTTTTTAGGTATTGTAGCATTTCACTGCCTGGGTCATGTGTATGAAATGGAATATTAAAAGATTTATTTTTGAAAAATTTGAAACTGGAAATAAAAACAAAATGTGTGGCAGACTTTATGAAAATGCAGGTAGTGCCTGAGGACCGAGACTTTTTTTTTTTAGCCTAATATGTAATGTTTTTGTTGTGTTAACCATTTCATCTAATACTGTTAGGATTAAGATCCTTGTCAGACATGTATGTAAACCTGTAGTGGAAAGAGCGTCTGCTTAAAGAAGGTCAGTGTTTTGATCCCCGGCTGTGTCTCCCCAAAAGATGTTAAAAGTTGGTACTTGTTACCCTGCCGGTCGCATGGCATTAATTTTATTAGGTCAGCATGGTGTCAGTATACTGTATAGCCCAATATGAACTAAATGTACTCGCTCATTGTTGAAGTGTTGTCCATTTCTGGACCTTATGGTTGTTTGGTGAATCCAATCTTGGCTATATATCATTGAGGAAAGATTTGAGCAATGGTGAAAATAATATCTATACACAATGTCTCAAGAACATTTCTTCAGAGACATCCTGTCCTTCAACATGCCTTTTAAAACTTGCTTTCAATAAATTTAACAGTGGATCATTTATGTCCTTTCTTTTTTTTTTACAGGCCTAACACAGGAATTTCTGAATATACTTGACACATGTCCCTTAAAACTGAAAAGGAAGATCCTTACATGGAAGGTAAGTAGGATGTAGGAGAACTCTTGTCAGTTTATTCAAAACAAGCCTTTTGTATTTAGTTGTGGAGATGAAAAGGCATTTCAATTTAGATGATGCTTTAATGAAGAGCATTTATTGTCTCACATTGATTAAGCCATGCTTAGAAGAAGATGCAAGATAATTTTAGTCTGTTAAATGTTATTAGGAATGATTGAGGTTGTTTTTTCCTCTTAGTTTTATGAGATTGAAGTATGATTTCTTTTTCTTTAATCTATGGCATGGATGATATTGTTTCAGAGTGGCAATCGAGGGGAGGAAGATGGTGGCCCTCCCCCAGAAAAGCGACACAGGGGTGAGAGCAGTTCTAGTGTTGGTGGAAGCTGTGCAAGCTTCACTCCTTCAAATATGTCTACAGTGCCGGAAAAACATGGCGGTGAAGCTTCTAGATCTGAAAGGAAAAATGAAAGCTTGAGTAAAGTGTACAGATCTGACACAATGCCATTGGCTCACACAGAGACATCCAAACATCTGCAGGAGGAAGACCTGCCGCCTCCTTCTCGGAGACACACACAGTCCACTCCAGTCAGGAAGTCTGCATCAGAAACTAGTGTAGGTTCCAGTAAATCCCTAGCGCAAGTCCCCTCTTTGCCTCAGTCCTCCTCATCTGCTGATTCATTAGATGGTCAGAAAAAGGTTCTGGACACACAACAGAAAGCAATGTCAATTAAAGACTATAAAACATATCGTGAACACAAGGATAAGCAAGCTGCCGCTGCTGCTGCAGCAGCTGCCCAACATGAAGGTGAACGAAAACCTCACTCCGCGTCTTCAGGCACAGAGTCTCACAGAAAACATAAGCATCAGCACGGGTCATCCAGTTCAGGGGATGAGAAGAAAAGCAGGAACAGGGAACACGAAAGAAAATATGGTCATCGTATGGAGGAGAGTGGCAGGCAAACTGATGATCATCTCAAAGTTCATATTAGGAAAGATCGAGCTGAAGACTCCTTTAGGAGTGGCAGGCCTTCAGATGATCATCTTAAAGTTCATATAAGGAAAGATCGAATCGATGATTCCGCCAAGAGACAATCTGATGATCATCTTAGAGTTCACATTAAGAAAGAGCGAACAGATGATTCTGTTAGGAGTGGCAGGCAAACTGATGATTCACTCAAAGTTCATATAAAAAAGGAGAAAGTGGAAGATTCCTTTAAAGTTCACATCAGAAAAGAGTCTGGTACTCATAAGATTAAACCAACTGGTTCGCCCCTTAAACTTACAATCAAAACTTTACAAAATGAATCCAGTCCATCAAAATCTCAAGATATGTCTTCTGAATACCGACAAGACTCTTTAAAAATGAAGCTCTCTCTGAAACCTGGTCAGGCATCAGGTCATGGTGAGAGATCTTCCAAACATCGGCGTAGTGAAGGCTATAGTTCACACTCCACTGGAGCCAATCCTGATATGCATGGTGTCCAGACCAGCAGGCATAGCTACTCTGCCTCCCAAAGTTCTGCATCAGGAGTAGATGGTAATGGCATCCATGATCCAAGCCACTCAAACAGTAGACATTCAAACTCTCATCATAAAGGTGCTGAGCACCAATCCAGAGCAGGGCATGATGGGAAACTTCAGCAGTCAGTAGGTCGTCAGGCTAACCTGTCGAACCTGGCCTTCACTGCAGAGAGAGGACCTTCTGGTAGCATCTTCTCTCCGCCCCCTGTTCACCAAAACTTTGAAGCCAATTTATTTAATACGGGTGCTATGCTGTTGTCTCAGACGGCTTCTGGCAGTCATAGAGGAAGCACAAATGTGAGTACAGCTGGCTATGGGGGATACCCTCAACAGACTAACATGAGCTCAAATTTCAGTGACTCTTTTTCAGGTTTCATGCCTGAAATGTTCCTAGGAGATAGTGGCCAATCAGTGCATGGCCTGGAGACGAATGGTGGTGGGATGAACCCACAGGCTTTGACCATGCACACAAAGGAGAGCCTTCAGCAGCTCCAGACCAACATGCAGCAGCTGATTGGCCACACCAAGTCTCAGATAGCACAGCAGCGGCTGCAACAGCAGCAGCACAGTCAGGCTGCGCAGTATGGCATGCCTGGATTTATGAGCATGCAGGGATACCAGACAAACCCCCCTCTCCCCATGGTACCTCCTCCACCCCCTCCCCCACCTGAAGACCCTCCACAACCCCCACCCCCACCACCATCAAATTGACAGTGGCAAAAGTTAGGGCAATTAAGTAAATTTCATTTAATATATTATATTAATTTTCTGCCACATTTTTGATGAGATGCTGAGTGCATTAACTGTGTTCTATATACATAATTTTTTATGTAAAGAAAATTGTATAATAAAGTCTTTCAAAAATAGTTTGTTTCAAGTGGTTTTCCAATGCACTATCAGGGAATGTGAGTAAAGATAGAATGGAATTATGTAATATTGGAAAGTAGCTGCCTGATGGTACTGGTAAAATGTTCTGCATCTTAGATTGGACTATTATGTGGGCTTTGAATGGAAAAGTGAAGGTTACCAAAATACGTTTCAGGTTTGTCTCCCTGGAAATGAAAATTACAAAAACTGCCTCGCATCATTCTCACCTGCATTGTGTGGTATAAGTTTTGTAAAGACATTTTCATCAGCTCTTGGTATTGCCTACCCCCAACAGTGAGATTGCTTGAATATTGAGTGGATTATAAATTCTGCTCCAGAAACAAGATGGATGATTGTACAAAGACATGTTGATTACTGTATCAGCCTGCAAATCAAAGTGTCAAACTATTAAATATCTTAAAATCTGTTTTCTCTCAATTCTTTTGTTATTGATTACAGGTGTTATGACTTCTTTGTCTTTGGTTATCGAAAATTCAAAAGAAATTGGCTTTACACATTATACTCATGTGGGAATCAGTCTTCCGGGTGTGACCTGCGAATGCTTTAACCACTAGACTACCCTGCCGCCACCGCCGCTATGGAACAGCATTTAATAATAACACTTCTTTTGAAACCTTTTTATAAACCAATAATGTTAGTAGTTGTCAAATTGTGTGGTGGTCATGGGAGGAGTTAATTCCCTTCTCAAGTATTCAGATAATGATGGAATATTATGTCATTATTCATCAGACCAGCGAAGGTTGATAAGTTAGTTTTACATGTGAAGGAGGCATAAAGCATGCCCATTGACACTGGGTTTCAACAATAATTTTGAGGGGTTGGTCATCAATTTTTAATGAATTTCTCGATACTTGTCAATAGTTCGAACATGTAAAATAACATCTCTACCGCCGATTTGATCGTCACAATGGAAACCGAAGACTCCGTCATTACGTATTTTGTCAATCAGTTATCGTTCAAAACATGGCAGGTATAATGGGTTTTTTAGCATACTAAATTTATTTCATATTTTACAACAGACCCTACAGGACCACGTGGCTGGCCTAATGCATCGTAATATGTGCAGGTTTAGTAGACATAACTTGGACAGAGCTACTGATATTTATTACATGGTCCATTTTCTTATGTTAGTAATGTTGACATGAAACTCCAGCTCCTTAACATAGTTATTACGCAGGTTAAAAGTTGAATCTTATTCTGCTTGTCCTCAGCCAGTGTCGGTGTAGATATACTGTGTAACATAAAAGCGGTCTAAAATCTCACTTGTAGACCATTCTCGGGGAGGTGAGATGGTATTTTAGAAAAGAGATATTGTTAAAACCACAAGAACATTCCATGAAACTGTAAAACGCAGACTATGAATCAATGAAACAAAAACATTTATTTCTTTTTCAAGATTACATGTGTTTTCGTGTACAAAAAAACCAAGTCCGGTTCTTGACCACTACAGATTTGCATTAAACGAATAGGTTACCGTCAGCTATGTGTTATAAATATGTACAACATGCGTATGCAAACGGGTTTAAGTGATAACAGAGATCATATAATGGATAATAATAGATTATTATATATAATAATCTATTATATGGTCTCTGGTGATAAGAACCGAAATGGCGACTGCAATGAAAGTAAGGGAGATAATCGCTGTATGATTCTATCGGTTGCACCTAGTTCGGGCGGATGTGGTGTGCGCTCTTCTCGGTTTTCCCAAGATGTTCCGACATCAAGTATTGTCACTTCATTGATTGCGTTAGAATTAACAGAACCAGGCCTGTTACAACACTTCCGCAATTGATTCAAACGCACACTTTGACCACAGTTGGTGCGACAATTTCGTCGTAGGGTGTTTCTTTCGATAGAAACTATTATGTACGTCAACTTCTCAATATTACTGAAGAAAGTGACATTCCTGAAAATATGTTTGTGTTCTGAGAGTATGAGAACTGACATTTGATTTTGCATCAGGAATCGCAAGTGGGTTTCTGTCACTTTATCACGACCGGGTCTTTTTATTATAAGATTGCCCAATTGGTGGGCAGGGGTGCAGTTCTGTCGACCACCATATCGTGACGGCGTATGCTCTCTGTGTATTGCCTGGCAAGTGTGTTGAATCTTTGTTCCTCACGCACTGAATGTGTCTGCTTGTGAACTGAAAGATAACACAACTCAATATGACTATATTCTACGGAAAAAGTAACTATGCTTTAGACAAGTTCAATAAAAATAAATTTAATTGTCGTGATTCACTATTTGCACCTGCATATGCACGCACGGCGCACAATTTGGATGTTTACGTGTTTGTTGAGAGCATGATACTCGCACGTGAATGTGAACAGCACACAATGATTGCTTAGCTATCAGGTACTCATTAGAAAAAAACACACCACTTAACCGTAAATAACGCTTGCTGAAACTTAATGTACACGCGCCGTGGGTATGCTGCAAACAGAAATTCGCAAAATGAAGTTGCCAGACATTTTAATGTTCACTGAAACATTTTTGTGGAGACTGACTTACCACGTGCCGGTCGTCCACGTGTGACGCCACGTCAACAAGACAACCATATTCGGTTGGTGCATCTTCGGAATCGATACCAAACTGCCATATTAACAACTCGGACAATTCCTGGGTTGAGACCAATTAGTGACAGAGCCGTATGCAACCGGTTAGGGGAGCACAACATCCGACGCTGACTTCCAGCGATACGCCCACTTTTCCTTCCACGTCATCGTCAGGTACGCCAATCTTGGTGTAGACAGACAGCATCTGAGGTTCAGGAAGATAAGACTGGGACAGTATACTGTTCTCAGATGGGTCCTGGACAGCTCTAATGGTCGCGCAAGGGTCAACAGGCGCCCAGAAGAGCGTTTCAACGACGCTTGCGTTACTCAACGTCGTCAGTGGGGGTGGAAGTGTAATGGTATGGGGTTGCATCACAACTCGTTGAGATCATGTTCTACCTTTTATGCAAATGCAGGGATGTAACGTCACGTTGCAGCAGGATAATGCCTGCCCGCAAGCATCTTCCAGGTGCAAACATGTCCACTAGACTATATCAAAGCCTAGTTTCTACCCATGCCACATCAAGGCTACATTTTTGGCTCGATCATGGCGCCACCTCGCGTAGATCACGAGTTGTGCCCCTTCTAATGAAAACTCAATTACCAATTAGATTGCTGTTCTTATCTCGTATTGCTCCACTACCATAGGCAACGACCTGGTCGTACAGATAACGAAAACATTCGCGATTTCATCCCTGACACAAAAACATAGGCAATCGATGCGGGGTTCAAAAGATAAAAGAGACACATTCGTGTCAACAAAGACAGGCAGCGGTAAAACACTTTCACGCGAATGTGTATCAGTCGTGGATTTTGTGAAACGTTCTCTGATAATCCAATCATATTAAGCACAGGAAATTGGGCTTGATATGGCAAGGGTTGAATCCAGATAAAAATGCTAGTGGACGCTCTTGCCTCGGGAAGATGGCACACAAGTTGCACGTGCTGTAACATGCATTTCGAAGCAGCATAACACTGCTGTACTGCCAATTCCGGCTGTTTCTCCAGACCTCTTTCCCAATAAAACATGTCTGGGATGAGAAGCACGACGCCTACGACATGACCAGAAACTCTAGCTCATTTGGGCCAATGTTTGGTTCACGTTTGGAACTACATCCCCCAGGCTGTCATCTGGTGTCGTCAATGCCCCGCCGCTGCCTCACCTGTTTCAACGCAAATGGTGGTCAAACCCGAAATTGTCAAAAGTTAGCATTGCCACTTGTCTGTTTGATCTATGCTAAAAGGCATCAAGATGTGAAGACTAGTGCTGTGATTATCCAATTATATCATTGTAAATCCAGCTGGCAATATTACGTTTTCAGCAATCTGAAATCCCATAAACAATCACATGGGGATAATTAAGAAGTATGTCCTTGAGTCAACTATCACCATGTTCTCAACCTTCACAATAATGTGATGAATGACATGACTCTATTGATTATTGCTCTCTGGGCTTACAAAAAGTATTCCATTTTAAAAGGAAATGAATTCCCTTCATTGTCGCGATACTTCTCAATTGTTGTTATCTATAGAAATTTGTTATCGGCGTTTTCAGTCATCGGGTACGTCACACCAGCACGTACTATTATGTGTTTTTGAACCCAACAATAGAACTCGTTCGTTATCCGAGTTACGACACACACACATCCATCATACTATTTGTCGCTGACCATCCACTACCAACTTCTTCACAATGGTACGCGCAAGTGGGCGGACCTCATACATAGTCATACGGAGTTAACTGTCGGGTCACAACTCAACTTATCCTGGCATATCAGTAAGTCTATATATGACGGTCTTAGCACGAACCTCCGTTAGTAGAAGCGTATTGTGTATTCAAGAATGTATACATCTATTTCTGCAATTCAACCACTCACTCACTCTCAGAGGACCACCTGAATGGAAGGAAGGGCTTTCTGTATTCGAACGAGGCCCTAATGTCCAATATGTCTGCTACACATCCAGTAACCCTCTCCCTGATTCCACTGTCACGTGAAACATATTTGTGGGCAACAAAATCTTCACCTCAATTGCATCGCGATCGCGTGGCATTGTGATAATACTCTACTGTCTTCTTACCGCTGGAGGAGGTGACTTGATCTGGGCCCCGATTAAATCTCTGAAATGAGATATTGTAATATTTTGTTTTTGTATTGTGCTAGGATATATATCATTTCTGTATACTCTGTGCACAAGAATGTGAGTATCACCCTTGCTTGGAATGCCCCCTTCTATGCCAGTTAGACTCATATCCCAAAATATTATTTATTTCTCCTACAGTACAGACATGCCACCATCTGTCGATCTCACTCATAATCCAAATGTCCAGCCAGGTATCTTATGTATGTATTGTCACTGTATAATGGGCCGGTGGCCCTTTACCTAATAAAGTCATACATTATATGTGATTGGAAGGAGCCCACATTACAAACCGAAGGGTCATTGATAGTGTTAGATTGTTTTTGTGAAATTGAAAATTGAAAGAACTGTTATATTTGATTATGTCTATTTAACCATCGTTCATTCCTACAACAGTTTGTAAAATTATTGAATGAATACTAGACGGAAAAAAGCTGAATCAAATTATATTTATTAACAATATAACCATGGAGAAATACTCTTAGTGCCGAATACAGTTATCGCTAACTTAAGATATTTTCAATTAAATATCAAACATGACAAAATGGGCTGCAAGGTATATTTTCTTTTGCTCCTCAGTGTATATTATTTCCTGAAGGAATTGTAAATGTTATAGACTCAGATGGACTGTTTAGTATTGGGGTCGAGCTGTGTGCATTACATAGCGTCCATTTGTCTCATTGTTAAGGCATTCTCTTTGTTGAAGCTCTACAGATCGTTTTGATCGTAAGCATCCATTCCTTTGTTTACTCATGGTATCCCCTGTGTATGTCTTGTCATTTCCCGTTTCACAACGTACAAGTCGTACACCAAATCTCCAACCATTGATGTTTTCATAGTGTTGCGTCTCCCTCTTGTTCTGGTGTGTCCCTGTACTTTTGTCGTCTTTTTATACAAAAGAAAAGTATCCACGGATAATTTGATTGTTGTTTAACGCCGCACTCTGCAGTATTACAGCTATATGACAGCGGTCCGTAAATAATCGAGTCTGGACCAGACAATCCAGTGATTGATATCATGAGCATCGACCCACGCAATTGGGATCGATGACATGCATCAACCTAGTCAGCGAGCCCGACCACCCGATCCCGGAAGTCGCCTCTCACAACAAGCATAGTCGCCTCGTTGGGGTGCAAAAGACCTATTCTAACCCAGATCTTCACGGGTTCAACGTATGAACGGTTGGAACAGCTGGTATGGCAATTTAAAACAACGGATCCGAGAGGCTCTGATTACACCAAGCGGGAGAGTGTCTGAACATTCAAAAAAGCAATGTCTACTTACATTAACCGTACCATTGAAGTGACCTCAGGGGTACCAGGCCATCCACTTGATTCTGGGCATTGCTCCTGCCCCGCTTCACTGGGAGGACTTTTTGAAACAAAATGAAAAATTAACTGCCTTTGCTTCAAGATACAACTGAGAAGTTTTGTTGCATGTTAAGGTATATAGAAACGGTTTATCATTGGAATCTTGACCAAAAACTTTCAAAACTGGTCATGGATTTTGAACGTTTTCCAATCGTTATTATGTATATTCGTACGGACATGTACAGTCCAATATTCGTAGCTGATGGAAGACGTTAAGCAAGGTGACAAATACGGAGAGATGGCACAAGACTGGGAAAAAACGAAGATGTCGTCAGCGTTCCTTCTTTTGTGCATATCCTTCTGAAACAGAGAGGCTCTGAAACTTTCTTTCATTTTTAACAGAGCGAAAATATATATGCACCATAAATTCATATGCACTAGAAAGGATCAAATTACAATAAAATTGCTATAGAATCTTAAAGATGTACAAACACCTTGTCCTGATGACCCATGACGACCCTGAAATTGCATCCTGGTCATTGCATGCATAAAATCCCATGAGTAAGAAATTCGTCACACATTCACAGTACACGTGGTACCGAGTCAATTCAAACAGAGTAAGTAACTCATTGACATGCTTATCTGTGAAAAGCAACTTTGGGTGACGCGTATCTGAAATATAGTGGCTGACTTGGTTGATGTATGCCTTCGTATCCCAACTACGTGGATCGAAGCTCATGATATCAATTACTGGATTGTCTGGTCCAGACGCGATTATTTACAGACCGCCGTCATATAGCTTGAATATTGTTGAGTGCGGCGCTAACCAAACAAACTAACAAAACAAACAAAACGAAATATAGTGGTTGCGTGCAATTGGAATGCTTAAAACCGAAATTGCACAAAACGTTGTTAGGCGTTTTCGTGTTCATTGTAACACTATACAGTCACTCTGGGGTCGGTACCATCAACACCAGGGGCCGCTCTCACGTTGCACGCGTGGTCACGTACATCATTGGACAACAGAACATTTCCACGCTCCCTTGACCAGCTGTTCGCCAGGTCTGACGCCCAAAGAACCTGTGTGGAATGAAACATCGTTTATGTCGACTTACAAGTCAACCGGTGACGTTGGTCCAGCTGCGACAGCCCTTGGTCCAGATCTGGAAGGACATCCTAAAAGCCTTCCTTGTGTCGTCAATGGAGCGTCGCTATCAAACTTGTGTCACTGCTAATGGTGGTCATGCCCAACGCCACTTTCAGGCTGAGATGACGTTTACAGAGCACGTGTGTTACAGAGCACACTGTCATGGTAAATTCATGTGTCATGGATATTAATATATTGTTCTGTTGCCAAATCATTCTTTGTTTGCCTTAAATTGTTATGGGTTTATTTCCATGGGGGATGGGATGTTCTCCACAGCACACACCCCATGGAAATCATCAATTCCTGCCTAATACAACAGAACCATTAAACACGGTTTATCTAATTTTATGACTTTATATTTGCATACGACAAAAACATGTAGAGTGGAAATTTACGGGACTCAACCCGGTAGCCATGTATTGCAAGACCACCTGCATGACACATACCTTGGATCGGTGTCTGGACCATCTTTCCTATCCTGCAGTGGTGGCATCGGAGTATCCCCTGACGACTTACCTCCTGTTGTTCCAGTTCCTTGTCTAGCTCAACAGTCTATCAACTCATCACACGTGTCTCTCATCCCTCTCGCTTGCACTTTCACCTCTCTAAACTTCTCTCCCTTCACTAACACGCACTCTCCAATCAGCTTCTAAAGCATCACACGGTTACATCTGACCTTATTACACATCATTTGGACACTAGATAATAATCTGATGAGGGATATTTAATATAGAACTGTATTTGCAATACACGCTTTATCACAATCAGTGTTAAACGACATTTTAAAAATATAACTTTATTTGGTAAATGTACCGTCGGATAATGACTGCATCTACAGAAACACCCCAAGTTACAACAAACTATATTCAGAGCATATGTGTATTTTATACATTACGAAAGAGAGACTTTAACATATGAGTATATGTCTGTATTTCTACCAGCTAAATCGTTACAAATCTCTCACCAGTGCAGTTGTTACCCGTCCCCTCGAAGCCATCAAAACAGGAGCAATTAAATCCTCCATCGGTGTTGGTGCAATTCTGTAGACACGTGTTGAGAACTTGATCCAAACATTCGTTGACATCTGAAACACGAAGCGCATTACGTTAACATAAACCTATTACCAGTACTTTGTAACATGTAACCAGGTAGACTCTGGACAAATAAATATATAAACCCTAGCCACATGATTAAATAGACCCTGGACACATAAGTAGGCTGACCTTGGACACATAACTAGGCTGACCTTGGACACATAACTAGGCTGACCCTGGACACATAACTAGGCTGACCCTGGACACATGACTAGGCTGACCCTGGACATATAACTAGGCTGACCCTGGACACATGACTAGGCTGACCCTGGACACATAACTAGGCTGACCTTGGACACATAACTAAGCTGACCCTCGAAACATAACTAGGCTGACCCTGGACACATCACTAGGCTGACCCTGGACACATAACTAGGCTGACCTTGGACACAACTAAGAAGACCCTGGACACATAACTAAGTAAACCCTGGTCACATAACTAGGCTTACCTTGGACACATAACTAGGCTGACCTTGGACACATAACTAAGAAGACCCTGGACACATAACTAGGCTGACCCTAGACACATAACTAGGCTGACCCTGGACACATAACTAAGTAGACCCTGGATACATAACTAGGCTGACCTTGGACAGATAACTAGTCTGACTCTGGACACATAACTAGGCTGACCCTGGACACATAACTAGGCTGACCATGGACACATAACAAGGCTGACCCTAGACACATAACTAAGTAGACCATGGACACATAACTAAGTAGACCATGGACACATAACTAGGCTGACGCTGGACACATAACTAGGCTGACCATGGACACATAACTAGGCTGACCCTGGACACATAACTAGGCTGACCCTGGACACATAACTAGGCTGACCCTGGACACATAACTAGGCTGACCCTGGACACATGATTAGGCTGACCCTGGACACATAACTAGGCTGACTCTGGACACATAACTAGGCTGACCCTGGACACATTACTAGGCTGACCCTGGACACATAACTAAGAAGACCATGGACACATAACTAAGTAGACCATGGACATATAACTAAGTAGACCCTGGACACATAACTAAATAGACAATGGACACACTATACTAGGCTGACCCTGGACACATAACTAGGCTGACCATGGACACATAACTAGGCTGACCCTGGACACATAACTAGGCTGACCATGGACACATAACAAGGCTGACCCTGGACACATAACTAAGTAGACCATGGACACATAACTAAGTAGACCCTGGACACATAACTAAGTAGACCAAGGACACATAACTAAGTAGACTATGGACATATAACTAAGTAGACCCTGGACACATATCTAAGTAGACCATGGACACATAACTAAGAAGACCATGGACACATAACTAAGTAGATAAAGGACACATAACTAAGTGAACCCTGGACACATAACTAGGCTGACTCTGGACACATAACTAGGCTCACCTTCGACACATAACTAGGCTCACCTTGGACACATAACAAGGTTGACCATGGGCACATAACTAGGCTGACCTTGGACACATAACTAGGCTGACCCTGGACACATGACTAGGCTGACCCTGGACACATAACTAGGCTGACCCTGGACACATGACTAGGCTGACCCTGGACACATAACAAGGCTGGCTCTGGGCAAATAACTAGGCTGACCCTGGACACATAACTAGGCTGACTCTGGACACATAACTAGGCTGACCTTGGACACATAACTAGGCTGACCTTGGACACATAACAAGGTTGACCATGGACACATAACTAGGCTGACCTTGGACACATAACTAGGCTGACCCTGGACACATGACTAGGCTGACCCTGGACACATAACTAGGCTGACCCTGGACACATGACTAGGCTGACCCTGGACACATAACTAGGCTGACTCTGGACACATAACTAGGCTGACTCTGGACACATAACTAGGCTGACTCTGGACACATAACTAGGCTGACCCTGGACACATAACTAGGTAGACCCTGGACACATAACTAGGCTGACCCTGGACACATAACTAGGCTGACTCTGGACACATAACTAAGAAGACCCTGGACAAATAACTAGGCTGACCCTGGACACATAACTAAGTAGACCCTGGACACATAACTAGGCTGACCCTGGACACATAACTAAGTAGACCCTGGACACATAACTAGGCTGACTCTGGACACATAACTAGGCTGACCCTGGACACATAACTAGGTAGACCCTGGACACATAACTAGGCTGACCCTGGACACATAACTACGCTGGCTCTGGACACATAACTAAGAAGACCCTTGACACATAACTAGGCTGACCTTGGACACATAACAAGGTTGACCATTGGCACATAACTAGGCTGACCTTGGACACATAACTAGGCTGACCCTGGACACATAACTAGGCTGACCTTGGACACATAACTAGGCTGACCTTGGACACATAACTAAGAAGACCCTGGACACATAACTAGGCTGACCCTGGACACATAACTAAGTAGACCCTCGATACATAACTAGGCTGACCTTGGACAGATAACTAGTCTGACTCTGGACACATAACTAGGCTGACCCTGGACACATAACTAGGCTGACCCTGGACACATGACTAGGCTGACCCTGGACACATGACTAGGCTGACCCTGGACACATAACTAGGCTGACTCTGGACACATAACTAGGCTGACCCTGGACACATAACTAGGCTGACTCTGGACACATAACTAGGCTGACCATGGACACATAACAAGGCTGACCCTGGACACATAACTAGGCTGACCATGGACACATAACAAGGCTGACCCTGGACACATAACTAAGTAGACCATGGACACATAACTAAGTAGACCCTGGACACATAACTAAGTAGACCATGGACACATAACTAAGTAGACCATGGACATATAACTAAGTAGACCCTGGACACATAACTAAGTAGACCATGGACACATAACTAAGAAGACCATGGATACATAACTAAGTAGATAAAGGACACATAACTAAGTAGACCCTGGACACATAACTAGGCTGACTCTGGACACATAACTAGGCTCACCTTGGACACATAACTAGGCTGACCTTGGACACATAACAAGGCTGACCCTGGACACATAACTAGGCTGACCCTGGACACATGACTAGGCTGACCCTGGACACATGACTAGGCTGACCCTGGACACATAACTAGGCTGGCTCTGGGCAAATAACTAGGCTGACCCTGGACACATAACTATGCTGACCTTGGACACATAACAAGGTTGACCATGGACACATAACTAGGCTGACCCTGGACACATAACTAGGCTGACTCTGGACACATAACTAGGCTGACTCTGGACACATAACTAGGCTGACCTTGGACACATAACTAAGAAGACCATGGACACATAACTAGGCTGACCTTGGACAGATAACGAAGTAGACCCTGGACACATAACTAGGCTGACCTTGGACACATAACTAGGCTGACCCTGGACACATAACTAGGCTGACGCTGGACACATAACTAAGAAGACCCTTGACACATAACTAGGCTGACCCTGGACACATAACGAGGCTGACCTTGGACACATAACTAGGCTGACCCTGGACACATAACTAGGCTGACCCTGGACACATGACTAGGCTGACCCTGGACACATAACTAGGCTGACTCTGGACACATAACTAGGCTGACTCTGGACACATAACTAGGCTGACTCTGGACACATTACTAGGCTGACCCTGGACACATTACTAAGCTGACCCTGGACACATAACTAGGCTGACCCTGGACACATAACTAGACTGACCTTGGACCCATAACTAGGCTGACCTTGGACAGATAACGAAGTAGACCCTGGACACATAACTAGGCTGACCTTGGACACATAACTAGGCTGACCCTGGACACATAACTAGGCTGACTCTGGACACATAACTAAGAAGACCCTTGACACATAACTAGGCTGACCCTGGACACATAACGAGGCTGACCTTGGACACATAACTAGGCTGACCCTGGACACATAACTAGGCTGACCCTGGACACATGACTAGGCTGACCCTGGACACATAACTAGGCTGACCCTGGACACATAACTAGGCTGACCCTGAACACATAACTAGGCTGACTCTGGACACATAACTAGGCTGACTCTGGACACATAACTAGGTAGACCCTGGACACATAACTAGGCTGACTCTGGACACATAACTAGGCTGACTCTGGACACATAACTAGGCTGACTCTGGACACATAACTAGGCTGACCCTGGACACATAACTAAGTAGACCCTAGACACATAACTAGGCTGACCCTGGACACATAACTAGGCTGACTCTGGACACATAACTAAGAAGACCCTGGACACATAACTAGGCTGACCCTGGACACATAACTAAGTAGACCCTGGACACATTACTAGGCTGACCTTAGACACATAACAAGGTTGACCATTGACACATAACTAGGCTGACCTTTGACACATAACTAGGCTGACCCTGGACACATGACTAGGCTGACCCTGGACACATAACTAGGCTGACCCTGGACACATAACTAGGCTGACCCTGGACACATAACTAGGCTGACTCTGGACACATAACTAGGCTGACCCTGGACACATAACTAGGCTGACTCTGGACACATAACTAGGCTGACCCTGGACACATAACTAGGCTGACCCTGGACACATAACTAGGCTGACCCTGGACACATAACTAGGCTGACTCTGAACAAATAACTAGGCTGACCCTGGACACATAACTAGGCTGACTCTGGACATATAACTAGGCTGACCTTGGACACATAACTAGGCTGACCTTGGACACATAACAAGGTTGACCATGGACACATAACTAGGGTGACCTTGGACACATAACTAGGCTGACCCTGGACACATGACTAGGCTGACCCTGGACACATAACTAGGCTGACCCTGGACACATGACTAGGCTGACCCTGGACACATAACTAGGCTGACTCTGGACACATAACTAGGCTGACTGTGGACACATAACTAGGCTGACCCTGGACACATAACTAGGCTGACCCTGGACACATAACTAGGCTGACTCTGGACACATAACTAGGCTGACTCTGGACACATAACTAGGCTGACTCTGGACACATAACTAGGCTGACCCTGGACACATAACTAGGTAGACCCTGGACACATAACTAAGCTGACCCTGGACACATAACTAGGCTGACACTGGACACATAACTAGACTGACCTTGGACACATAACTAGGCTGACCTTGGACAGATAACGAAGTAGACCCTGGACACATAACTAGGCTGACCTTGGACACATAACTAGGCTGACCCTGGACACATAACTAGGCTGACTCTGGACACATAACTAAGAAGACCCTTGACACATAACTAGGCTGACCCTGGACACATAACGAGGCTGACCTTGGACACATAACTAGGCTGACCCTGGACACATAACTAGGCTGACCCTGGACACATGACTAGGCTGACCCTGGACACATAACTAGGCTGACCCTGGACACATAACTAGGCTGACTCTGGACACATAACTAGGCTGACCCTGGACACATAACTAGGCTGACCCTGGACACATAACTAGGCTGACTTTGGACACATAACAAGGCTGACTCTGGACACATTACTAGGCTGACCCTGGACACATAACTAAGCTGACCCTGGACACATAACTAGGCTGACCCTGGACACATAACTAGACTGACCTTGGACACATAACTAGGCTGACCTTGGACAGATAACGAAGTAGACCCTGGACACATAACTAGGCTAACCTTGGACACATAACTAGGCTGACCCTGGACACATAACTAGGCTGACCTTGGACACATAACTAGGCTGACCCTGGACACATAACTAGGCTGACCCTGGACACATGACTAGGCTGACCCTGGACACATAACTAGGCTGACTCTGGACACATAACTAGGCTGACTCTGGACACATAACTAGGCTGACCCTGGACACATGACTAGGCTGACCCTGGACACAGAACTAGGCTGACTCTGGACACATAACTAGGCTGACTCTGGACACATAACTAGGCTGACCCTTGACACATAACTAGGCTGACCCTGGACACATAACTAGGCTGACTCTGGACACATAACTAGGCTGACTCTGGACACATAACTAGGCTGACTCTGGACACATAACTAGGCTGACCCTGGACACATAACTAGGTAGACCCTGGACACATAACTAGGCTGACTCTGGACACATAACTAAGAAGACCCTGGACACATAACTAGGCTGACTCTGGACACATAACTAAGAAGACCCTGGACACATAACTAGGCTGACCCTGGACACATAACTAAGTAGACCCTGGACACATAACTAGGCTGACCCTGGACACATAACTAAGTAGACCCTGGACGCATAACTAAGCTGACTCTGGACACATAACTACGCTGACTCTGGACACATAACTTAGTAGACCCTGGACACATAACTAGGCTGACCTTGGACACATAACAAGGTTGACCATTGACACATAACTAAGCTGACCCTGGACACATAACTACGCTGACCCTGGACACATAACTAAGTAGACCCTGGACACATAACTAGGCTGACTCTGGAGACATAACTAGGCTGACCCTGGACACATAACTAGGCTGACCCTGGACACATAACTAGGCTGACCTTGGACACATAACTTGGTAGACCCTGGACACATGACTAGGCTGACCCTGGACACATAACTATGCTGACCTTGGACACATAACTAAGAAGACCCTTGACAGATGACTAGGCTGACCCTGGACACATAACTAGGCTGACCTTGGACACATAACTTGGTAGACCCTGGACACATGACTAGGCTGACCATGGACACATAACTAGGCTGACCTTGGACACATAACTAAGAAGACCCTTGACACATAACTAGGCTGACCCTGGACACATAACTAGGCCGACTCTGGACACATTACTAGGCTGACCCTGGACACATAACTAAGCTGACCCTGGACACATAACTAGGTTGACACTGGACACATAACTAGACTGACCTTGGACACATAACTAGGCTGACCTTGGACAGATAACGAAGTAGACCCTGGGCACATAACTAGGCTGACCTTGGACACATAACTAGGCTGACCCTGGACACATAACTAGGCTGACTCTGGACACATAACTAAGCGGACCCTTGACACATAACTAGGCTGACCCTTGACACATAACGAGGCTGACCTTGGACACATAACTAGGCTGACCCTGGACACATAACTTGGCTGACCCTGGACACATAACTAGGTAGACCCTGGACACATAACTAGGCTGACCCTGGACACATAACTAGGCTGACACTGGCCACATGACGAGGCTGACCTTGGACACATTACTAGGTTGACACTGGACACATACCTAAATAGACCCTAGTCACATAACTAGGTAGACCCTCAACTCATAATAGGAAGTCACTGAACATATATTCTGCCATGAGCACAAATTATATGTTCGTCAAAGGCACCAAACATCTTGTACAGTTACGTCCCTTAGGCGTGTCAGAATCATCCGCTGGTCCTTGTTTCGAATTTGCAGATTCACTCTGACTAATGATTCTTGATTTAGGGTCACCATAACAATCCTTGTACGTTTCACCAAAGATGTAAACATCTACGACCTCCCACATGTCCTCCCACATTGAGCTAACACAAAACGTCCTACAAAGCGGTTGGGCGTCAGCTTGGTTACCACCATTCGGGTATAAGCGGATTAGCAAATCGGCAAAGTAATGAGGTAAAGGGCCGCCCAAGGTCTGGCCAGGGCACTCGAAGGTTGCGACTCTTTGGCACCAGTACCCTTATGAAGGAGAACTGGATGCCTCGCAGATAATTGTCATCACGGCCATTGAAATCGACCCAAACAACATGTTTCAGGTCAAAGAATGCGATCAAACGTCCTATGCTGTCAGACCGCCATGACAGTAACCGTTGGCATGGTACGTGGCGGTGTGTAGATGCCACCTGATGACGAGGAAGATCCACTGGTCGGATGAGAGAAGGTTCTTGTTGCGTGTCACAGCTGGGCGTATTCGGGTCTGACGGTAAAAATAACACTGCATAGATGCCAAGGAACTTTCGTCACACAGTCCCCTTTGGTGCAGGACCAGTCATGATGTCGGGTTGTCAGTCCCATGACTAGAAGTTGGACATGACCACTGTGTAGGGGAATCTGATGGGTGGCAGGTACATGCGTCAAATCCTGGATCCGATCTATTTTGAAAACCATCGTCTGGCTACCAGACCCGCCTACGAGGAAGACAACGTTGGGCTGACAGGTCCGGATCCAGGAGAACGCCTTCACAACCATTCCTTTAGCCCGCAATGAGATAAGATGAGATCGACCCGTTGGAACACATCTAGGGCATTCTGGGACGCAAGATACGGACGCTAAATATACCGGTAGCTAATCTACAGGAAGTGCCACAAGCCTTGCACCGAGAATAGCATAGCCTACCCCAGGAACGTCTCACTGAAGACATGAGTGAGTGAGTGAGTGAGTTGGGTTTAACGCCGCTTTTAACCGTATTCCAGTCATATCACGGCGTGTCAGCTTAATGTGGGAGGAAAGCCCGAAGTGATGCAGGTCTCAGACGTTTACCACTTCGGTGAAACCCACGGGCACGGGTATGGTGCTGACAAACCTAGAAACATAATCGGAGCGAACCGGGATTCGAACCCACAATCATAGGTTTCTGGCGTGCCCAAGACACGCAACTCTGCACAGCGAATCACGGCGCCTTAGGCGACTGGGCCACCCGTGCCCCCTACTGAGGACATGAAGAGGAGGGCTGAGGCGTTCATCCACAATGCACAATATTGACAATTTCATTACAGGAAATCCTGTTGAGGCCAGATTTGTAAGTAATGCGCCCACTGAAATGTCCACAATGTTATATTTTCTAAAATGCCCTGAATGTTGTCCTGGTTTACTCTTACAGGGAATAGTACTGTTCTGGTTTCTATGCCCTGGATTATAGGCAAGCCGCTGGTTTTCATAAAATAGCAGCTCCAGGGAGTGCTTCAAGTTTTTCAAGGTGAATATGATGACACGTTATAAACCTTAACACACGTTTGAAAATTGGTCTTCCGTGTTCTTCCAGTCTTATTAACAAATATTTTACTCCTGTTCCACACTCCCCTCCGTCAGGATCTAACTCATCAGATGTTAGCCAGCCACTCTCAGCAGACGTTGGTATCCAATCCACGTTTGGGTCAACCGGGATGACGGATACCTGTTTCGATCTGGGAAGACAGTTATGAATAATTCTGTAGTAGAAAGCACCAGTGTGCTTGATAGGTCCTGGGCCAGGGACACCACCTCTACTCACCATCACCTGAAGACTCAATGTCTCTTTTCTCTCGCTCCTGTTGAAGGTTGTACTCAGAGCGGATTAGGTCGGAATTCAAAGCGTCCTCTGGTGATAGGTCCACCTCTGACGTAACATTCCGGTATAAAAACATGAATACATCTTTGTCAGATTCATCTTCTGGAATTATAAAATCATCAAAGAATTAGGATTTTTCAAAGACAGCTCTTGCCGTCTGTCTGCGTCCTTATGTAAATAAGATATTGAGAGTTCACAAAACATGAGAAACATAAACTGTACAGTGTGAGTGAGTGAGTTTAATTTTACGCCGCTTTTAGCAATATTCCAGCAATATCACGGCGGGGGACATCAAAAATGGGCTTGACACAGTGTACCCATGTCGGGAATCGAACCCGGGTTTTCGGTGTAACGAGCGAACGCTTTAACCACTGGGCTACCCGACAGCCCCATAAACTGTACAGCATATCCCAATAACAACTGTGTCTCAATACATCCTATTTCATTATTATTATATGTACTATTTTATTGACCATGTCATGCAGTAGAACGTTATTTGTACAGCAAACTTATGTACGTCTTTAAATTCACAAAAAATTGTTTGAGCTGTCCAATGTTATGTACAAAGTTATTTGTATTAAAGGAGATATTAAGATGCACCTATAAATGTTAGACATATGTAATGTTCTATGGGTCAGATGGCCTTGAATTCTGAATAAACTGATTCTGTATCTGAAAAATTGCAGTTACGTATTTCACTTCTTTGTCAGACTCGTTGGATGCGTACTTTCTTTCTGTGAACCCGTACAGAGACCTGTATGTGTTTTTCAGGCCCCATGAATATGTTTGTATGGACTTGGTATAAAACTAATGTCGCCTTGCCACTGGAAAACGTTTATACATCAATAGATGACAGTGTCTGACAAAATTTGCAAAATAGCGGTGAAGGAAACCCCCGTCAGAAAGGATCAAGGAGTCTTAAGCATCCCAAATTGGTTAAGGCTTTCTTAAACATTGCGCCACGGTGTCTAGTGTCATACAATCCAGTCCTAATGTTAAAATAATTACAAACTCTTCATGCCGCGGCCAGGGCGATTGTCATGTAGACATTCCAAGAAGGTACTGGTCAGATAAGTGTCCAAATTATTAATTGAAATTAATTATCAGCCGTCACAATGCCTCTAGTGTTAGAACTAGGTTATTTATTAATTGCTGCACCATCAATATTTGTTTTGAATGTACTCAGTTGTTCACATACATTACACTTACACTTAAACAGTAACTCTTTATAGTCCTTGTTTCCTAAGCCACATGTATGTCGAGAATATAGTGTGTTAGTGTGAATATAATATATCCATTTGTACTTAGTTTGATATTTTTATGTTTCTATTTACTTGAAATGCTTCTAAGAATTCGATATTATCATAATCTAAAAAGACATCATAAGTGTTTAAAACAAAAGCCAAAGTGGTTCGCCCCGATTATGTTTCTAGGTTTGTCAGCTCCATACCCGTGCTCGTGGGTTTCACCGAAATGGTTAACAATATGCAAGTAATGCATCACTTCGGGCTTTCCTCCCACATTAAGCCGACACCCCGCGATATAACTGTAATACTGTTAAAAACGGCGTTAAACCCAACTCACTCACTCACCAAAAAGCCAAAATATTGAGATGACCCCTTTTCATATCGAGATGTGACAAAAACATTAACAGATTAAGGAAAATATGTAATAACTTTGAATTATTACTTAAAATATTCTTGTTTTGAACATTTAGAAAAAATGACTATTCGCTATTTATACGACCCCTACAATATTTTCTTGCAAACAAGTAAGCAGTTAAATAGCTTCATGTGTTATCTCATACACGAGTGTTACCTTCAGAGAGGACGGCAGCAGGGCTGAGCATGGCCTGAGTGAGGGATGTTATCACAATTGCTAGCCACAGGTAGCGCTTCCACCCGTAAGGACACATGCCTCTGGCACCTGGAAATAAACAAAGTTTTTACTTTCGAAAGAAGTATCATCCCATAGGGGTTATGTTGACAAATAATGTGTGAGCATTTATGATTCTAGACGATTTTTAACTGAGCCCACTTCCACCTTATCCTCGTATCACAGGTCATCTTGATGTGGGAGAAAAGCCCAAAGGGATAATGCAGGTTTTAGACGTTTAACACTTTAGCGAAACACATGGGTATGGTGACGAGAAACCTAGAAACATAATCAGGCAAATCTAGGATTCGAAACAACGATCGCAGGTTTTCGGCATGCATAAGGGACGCAACTCTGCATGTCGAATCGGCGCCTCTGATAACGGTTGAATCTAAACATTCATCAGCCCTTGAATAATGTGCGTTAAGTGTTATGTGAACATAGGGATACTACTGAGCATTAGTCATGAGATATAACATCTATCTATTTGATGTTTGTTATTTTAATGCAGAAGTGCTACCTGGGTTATCAGTCTCGTATGTCATGGAAAAATAGACAGCCCTTGTGCAGCGTTAAGAGTAAAATAACCAGTAGTGGTTACCTCGGGGTCGTCATATTGTTTTCATCTTGTACAGGTTTTCAAACTGGAATCAATATTTAGAGGTCCTAAATAATTAGGTGTATGAGGCAGCAGAGATTGTTTATTTGTTTATTTTATAAGTTTATTTGAAGCGACTGTCTGTAGTAGCAAATGATTGAAGCGCTTATAAAATGTCGAGTACCGGCGACTGCAGCGAGTGAGTGGAATTTAGAGTTACCTCCCTTGGTTGTTGACAGACATTACAGGCTTCATCGTTCGTGAAGTTTCGGGATGGGCGCTTTCTAGTAAGCTGGCAGTATCTTAATAAAAGCGACACCGGGGCGAGTCAAGGCTTTTCCGACCCGATCTGCGTCAACGTGCTAAGAGCGGAATGGATAACAATCTGACAACACCGAAGTTCTGCCAGGGTCCAACAATCAGGCCTGTTTCAAAACATTCGACGGTGAAACATTCTGGACAGTCATGAGTGCACTGACGTATATTGTAAGGCATGTTACATGTGGCAGCGGCCACTTGTTTGATCCTGTTTTGACTGTAAGCCCAAAACTGTATGTTTCATTGTAATTTGTTGATTATTCATTGATTTTGTGTTGTTTTCAGCTGAATTTATAATTTATTCCTGGACGATTCCTTGGTAAACTTTGGCATTTCATTCAGGGATATTTGTGAAATCAGTATCTTTCATGTGGATTTTTAGGTTGCAGCATTTGAAGACCGTTTGGCATATTAAGCATTGGCGTTGCTGTTTGAAGTTTTGAACTTAAAAAGCTGGAATTTGAATTTCAAAGAGAAAGAGAGGAAACAAAATTTCAAAAAGAATAAGAGGAGACCTCACCCCATTCTTTTGGAATGTCATGTCCCAGCCTATTTCAGATGTCATTAACGAGAGAGTTCAACTACCAAGTCTACTGTTGTTACGAAGGAGTACTTTCCTTTTATTTCGAAAGATTTAGTATCACTTAAAGGTGACAAATCCACATAACGACCCATTACTATTCTTAGGTACACACAATCACACCGATCTTTGCTTATGTTTCCTGCCACTTTCGGATTTGTCAAAAATGCCATCTGAAGTTTACTGAGAAAACAAAATGTGAAATGTTGGACTTCCTCATTGATGACATCCATGTAAAATGACAGTTAGGCAAGAAGTTGGCGTCCCCATGGTCACCAACTGTGCTCCCCTTCTTGCTGATGTGTTTCTTAATGAATATGAATCGGAATTTCTGGTCGGATTGGCAAAGTCAGAACAATTCATTTTGGCCAAGAAGTTTAACTTAGCTTCAGGTAGATCGATGATCTGATATCGTTAAATAACCATCAGACAGGAAATTCCCTTCCTCTGATTTACCCACCAGAACTAGAAATAAAGGAGCCTCATCTGTTTCATAAAGATTCAAAGTGACAAGGGATTTCCATATGACTGTGTGACAAGAGGGATGACTTAAACTTTCCAATGGTTCACTTTCCCTTCATGTCGAGCAATATTCCAGTGTCAACATGTACAATTGACCTTGCTCTTTCTGCGATGATTTCAAAGAGCGTCATAAAAACTCTTGCTAATATTTTACGGACTTTACGGAAAACTAAAAGCGATATGCTAATTTTGTATTACGTCTGCTGTGTACAAGTCAAACAGCCGCGTTGGCACCCGTCACAAACACATGCAGAAGGAAGTCAATTGTACACCTGAATAAAACACGGGAACATATGGTACAAGACAGAATAGGGACGTCATTTTTGTCACTGATGCGTCAAGGTTCGAAATACCACCACCAACATCCAACATCCCCCCCCCCAACCCCCAACACCCACCCCCACACACATGTCTACCATAAAACTCACTGAATGCTTTACTGGGGCCTTGAACGGTGTGTCTCTAATCAAACAACACAACTATTGAGCAAGAGTTGCATGGCGCGCATTCAAATTTCCAATCATATACTGACAACAACAAAACGTGCCGATAACAATGTCTTACAAACCACCGTATCAGCTGGGATACGCTAGTATTTAATATTGCACTCTCGGGTTACAGAGTCTATTGTAGTGCGTGAAATATTTTTTTATAACACCTCCTCCGTTCGTTGCTTTCCGATATCTCGCAGTCATGTTGCAGGTGTAAACTTAGGGAGTCCGGCAGCCTTATCTGATGCAAGTGGAAAATAGACAAAGTTGTTGTGACTAATGCCATACAGTCGAACCCCGTTTTCTCGAACTCGGATATGTCCAAAACCCTAGCTGTGTTGAACTCACAACCCGGTCCAGGCAAACTGTTTTTACTTTGTTTAAAGTGGGTGTTTTGAACTGATGTTACGAACTCCCGGCTGTCTCGAATTCAATTCATAGTCCAAAGAGTAGAACAATAAGTAAAACTTACCCTGATAAGTCGAACTCTTATATTTGAAAGAAGTGATAATGATTCCGTGATAACATATAACGTCAACGCCAGAGAATAACCAGTCTCGATTATCCGCCCAAACGGATTCCATCGGGCGTAAAATGCAAATTAGCGGTGAAAAGTATATGAATGGACACAAGGTGATCTCAGGAAGTGTAAGAATGTCCTGTCCTACCGCTTACACACAATTTGTCATAAAAAAGAAAGTTTTTGTTGTTTGACGCCGCACAGCTGTACCGCGGTTTGTAGGAAAATTTTGAGAAACTCCGACGTGATAGCGCATTTATTGAATGGAGTGACGTGACTAAAATGCATGTAGATGTGTAATTTACATTTGACAAATGCTTCTGTTTTACTTTGTTATTATATAAATATTAGGCCTATGTATATATTGACTTTTCGCTACACGAGTTACGGAGTGTTTTCCTGATATTTCCGATTCGGAACAACCCGCACTAACAACCCAGCCAAAATGTACATGAATCGAAAACGGCAACATTATTCCCTTCCTAAAACTTCAAATATGTGTAATTATTTCTAGATCATGCAACTTTCAATGTACATACCGGGTTTGCTTCATCCAGAGGTAAGGAATGTTTCTTCGCCATTCATGAGCGCCAAAATGGATGACATTTTTTTACCGCCCAGTTTCAAACTCGATAAGTACATTTATCATATACTGGGTAGGTTTTTCGGCAGGATAAAGCCAACGGATAAAACGATGTCCGTTGGGGTCATATGCGGATAGAGATGCAAATGTCAAAGGTCAAGTTGGGACTACTTTCAGTGTTTAGAAACAAACATGGCGTCGCGCTTGTCATTCGGCGATCGTGTCAGAATTAACCATCGAGAATATTGAGAAACTACTGTGATAATTGCTATCATTATCAAAAGAATAGTCTAAAATACTGAAAATCAATGTCTAACTGTGACGTAGCCAAGGCATTTTACAAGTTTTGATAACTTTGGAGATAATTTGCGAAACAATTTAGCGAGGACACTAGCCAAGCGGGATCAGTTTCCAACTTTTTATAGCTCTGCTTGTAGGCTAGACCTCTGCGGCTTGGAACGTTTTCCCCAAATTATAACAGTTGGATTTGGCCAAAATATGTCCGAATGTTACCTTGTTTCGCGTTGTCGCTATGTGTACATCGGGCCGCGCTTCGTAACGTCATGACAGGACAGACAGACTATAAACAAACGTGACGTCTCATAGACTATGGTTAGTTTAGCTTCCCTTTGATAACGGACAGTTACTCTAGGGGACAGACGGGTGGATTGCCGCGAAGGCAACTAGAAATGATTTGTGAGGCAGTTGTTGTTTTGCCTATATTAAGTTACTCCACTGTATAAGAAACATGTTTCAGCTGGAGCTATATTGACTGTTGACACTGTCCGACTGACACACCACTTACCTTCTGACGTAATATATATTAATGCGCACATTCCAGGATACATGCAATGTTTAGGTAATGTTTGTGAGAGATGGGAAGAGAGTTTTCGAACACAGAATTGAAGAGTGACATTAAATGATAAAGAGGTTATCACGCTTGTGTGTTTGGGGTTGGTAGATATCCCCAAATTAGGAATAAACATTATGTATTTAGGTGAGGTGAGGTGAAATGGGGTTAAACGTCGCGTCCAAGATTATTGCACTTATATAGCGACGTGCATGCACGTGAATGTGTGTGGCTGCTTGTACTAGTCTGGACTGATGACGATTTATAGTGCTAGCACACTGAGATACCATGCCACAGTTTAACATGAATACCCCACTCAGACACAGTATACTGACTCCTGTCCGACGAGTCCTTCATGCCGAGCGCCAGACAGGGTAACAACAAATATCATCTTTTAACGTCTTTTGGTATGACGCGGCTGGGGATCGAACCCCGGACCTTCCGCTCTCCGGACGGACGCTCTACCATTAAACCACGGAGGCGGTCCTTATGTATTTAGCGAGCCTCGGGATCTATGACGAAAAAACTACGCCCGCGTCTCTGTGTAGCGGAAAGACAAAATCAAAATCGTTTAGAGGAAGTAGCATAGAGATGCGGTTATCACAGCCGGCAATATTCAGGGTAAATCAAGGCGGCATTTAAAAAACGACAAGCATGAGGTACTGAGTCCTTGTTTCGTCTTTCGTACATATGAAATGTGTTTTGAGGATAAGGAAAAAACAAAACTTACCTCCACTGATAACATGAACAGGATTCTGAAGGTGACAGCTGGTCACGTGGCCAAATTGTTGCTATTGTATTCATACGCGATCAAGTAAAACAGGCTCATCACGTGATTGCTTATTGACCTATGATAAGGTGTATACAATTCAGCCCGGAACCAGGTACACGTATAATTAAGGGTAGCAGGTAAACCACACAGCGTGAGCCTAGAAACCTTTACACAATTCAACAGTTTTATTTACACAACGATTTCATAACAACGAGGATCCATAGGGATGGGTGTGTGGGTAGGCAGGGGTACCCAGCCCTCTAATGTGTAGTGGTGGATAGTTGGGCTGGTGAAGATTCAGTTGTGTAGTGGTGGTTAGTTGGGCTGGTGAAGATTCAGTGTGTAGTGGTGGTCAGTTGAGCTGGTGAAGATTCAGTGTGTAGTGGTGGTTAGTTGGGCTGGTGAAGATTCAGTGTGTAGTGGCGGTGGTTAGTTGTGCTGGTGAAGATTCAGTGTGTAGTGGTGGTTAGTTGGGCTGGTGAAGATTCAGTGTGTAGTGGTGGTTAGTTGGGCTGGTGAAGATTCAGTGTGTAGTGGTGGTTAGTTGGGCTGGTGAAGATTCAGTGTGTAGTGGTGGTTAGTTGGGCTGGTGAAGATTCAGTGTGTAGTGGTGGTGGTTAGTTGGGCTGGTGAAGATTCAGTGTGTAGTGGTGGTTAGTTGGGCTGGTGAAGACTCAGTGTGTAGTGGTAGTGGTTAGTTGGGCTGGTGAAGATTCAGTGTGTAGTGGCGGTGGTTAGTTGGGCTGGTGAAGATTCAGTGTGTAGTGGTGGTTAGTTGGGCTGGTGAAAATTCAGTATGTAGTGGTGGTTAATTGGGCTGGTGAAGACTCAGTGTGTAGTGGTAGTGGTTAGTTGGGCTGGTGAAGATTCAGTGTGTAGTGGTGGTTAGTTGGGCTGGTGAAGATTCAGTGTGTAGTGGTGGTTAGTTGGGCTGGTGAAGATTCAGTGTGTAGTGGTGGTTAGTTGGGCTTGTGAAAATTCAGTGTGTAGTGGTGGTGGTTAGTTGGGCTGGTGAAGATTCAGTGTGTAGTGGTGGTTAGTTGGGCTGGTAAAGATTCAGTGTGTAGTGGCGGTGGTTAGTTGGGCTGGTGAAGATTCAGTGTGTAGTGGTGGTGGTTAGTTGGGCTGGTGAAGATTCAATGTGTAGTGGTGGTTAGTTGGGCTGGTGAAGATTCAGTGTGTAGTGGTGGTGGTTAGTTGGGCTGGTGAAGATTCAGTGTGTAGTGGTGGTTAGTTGGGCTGGTGAAAATTCAGTATGTAGTGGTGGTTAATTGGGCTGGTGAAGACTCAGTGTGTAGTGGTAGTGGTTAGTTGGGCTGGTGAAGATTCAGTGTGTAGTGGTGGTTAGTTGGGCTGGTGAAGATTCAGTGTGTAGTGGTGGTTAGTTGGGCTCGTGAAGATTCAGTGTGTAGTGGTGGTTAGTTGGGCTGGTGAAGATTCAGTGTGTAGTGGTGGTTAGTTGGGCTGGTGAAGATTCAGTGTGTAGTGGTGGTTAGTTGGGCTGGTGAAGATTCAATGTGTGGTGGTGGTTAGTTGGGCTGGTGAAGATTCAATGTGTAGTGGCGGTGGTTAGTTTGGCTGGTGAAGATTCAGTGTGTAGTTGTGGTTAGTTGGGCTGGTGAAGATTCAGTGTGTAGTGGTGGTTAGTTGGGGTGGTGAAGATTCAGTGTATAGTGGTGGTTAGTTGGGCTGGTGAAGATTCAGTGTGTAGTGGTGGTGGTTAGTTGGGCTGGTGAAGATTCAGTGTGTAGTGGCGGTGGTTAGTTGGGCTGGTGAAGATTCAGTGTGTAGTGGTGGTTAGTTTGGCTGGTGAAGATTCAATGTTTAGTGGTGGTTAGTTGGGCTGGTGAAGATTCAGTGTGTAGTGGTGGTTAGTTGGGCTGGTGAAGATTCAGTGTGTAGTGGTGGTTAGTTGGGCTGGTGAAGATTCAGTGTGTAGTGGCGGTTAGTTGGGCTGGTGAAGATTCAGTGTGTAGTGGTGGGTAGTTGGGCTGGTGAAGATTCAGTGTGTAGTGGTGGTTAGTTGGGCTGGTGAAGATTCAGTGTGTAGTGGCGGTGGTTAGTTGGGCTGGTGAAGATTCAGTGTGTAGTTGTGGTTAGTTGGGCTGGTGAAGATTCAGTGTTTAGTGGTGGTTAGTTGGGCTAGTGAAGATTCAGTGTGTAGTGGTGGTTAGTTGGGCTGGTGAAAATTCAATGTGTAGTGGTGGTTAGTTGGGCTGGTGAAGATTCAGTGTGTAGTGGTGGTTAGTTGGGCTGGTGAAGATTCAGTGTGTAGTGGTGGTTAGTTGGGCTGGTGAAGATTCAATGTGTAGTGGTGGTTAGTTGGGCTGGTGAAGATTCAGTGTGTAGTGGTGGTTAGTTTGGCTGGTGAAGATTCAGTGTGTAGTGGCGGTTAGTTGGGCTGGTGAAGATTCAGTGTGTAGTGGTGGGTAGTTGGGCTGGTGAAGATTCAGTGTGTAGTGGTGGTTAGTTGGGCTGGTGAAGATTCAATGTGTAGTGGCGGTGGTTAGTTGGGCTGGTGAAGATTCAGTGTGTAGTTGTGGTTAGTTGGGCTGGTGAAGATTCAGTGTGTAGTGGCGGTTAGTTGGGCTGGTGAAGATTCAGTGTGTAGTGGTGGGTAGTTGGGCTGGTGAAGATACAGTGTGTAGTGGTGGTTAGTTGGGCTGGTGAAGATTCAGTGTGTAGTGGCGGTGGTTAGTTGGGCTGGTGAAGATTCAGTGTGTAGTTGTGGTTAGTTGGGCTAGTGAAGATTCAGTGTGTAGTGGTGGTTAGTTGGGCTGGTGAAAATTCAATGTGTAGTGGTGGTTAGTTGGGCTGGTGAAGATTCAGTGTGTAGTGGTGGTTAGTTGGGCTGGTGAAGATTCAGTGTGTAGTGGTGGTTAGTTGGGCTGGTGAAGATTCAGTGTGTAGTGGTAGTGGTTAGTTGGGCTGGTGAAGATTCAATGTGTAGTGGTGGTTAGTTGGGCTGGTGAAGATTCAATGTGTAGTGGTGGTTAGTTGGGCTGGTGAAGATTCAATGTGTAGTGGCGGTGGTTAGTTTGGCTGGTGACGATTCAGTGTGTAGTGGTGGTTAGTTGGGCTGGTGAAGATTCAGTGTGTAGTGGTGGTTAGTTGGGGTGGTGAAGATTCAGTGTGTAGTGGTGGTTAGTTGGGCTGGTGAAGATTCAGTGTGTAGTGGTGGTGGTTAGTTGGGCTGGTGAAGATTCAGTGTGTAGTGGTGGTTAGTTGGGCTAGTGAAGATTCAGTGTGTAGTGGCGGTGGTTAGTTGGGCTGGTGAAGATTCAGTGTGTAGTGGTGGTTAGTTTGGCTGGTGAAGATTCATTGTTTAGTGGTGGTTAGTTGGGCTGGTGAAGATTCAGTGTGTAGTGGCGGTGGTTAGTTGGGCTGGTGAAGATTCAGTGTGTAGTGGCGGTTAGTTTGGCTGGTGAAAATTCAGTGTGTAGTGGTGGTTAATTGGGCTGGTGAAGACTCAGTGTGTAGTGGTAGTGGTTAGTTGGGCTGGTGAAGATTCAGTGTGTAGTGGTGGTTAGTTGGGCTGGTGAAGATTCAGTGTGTAGTGGTGGTTAGTTGGGCTGGTGAAGATTCAGTGTGTAGTGGTGGTTAGTTGGGCTGGTGAAGATTCAGTGTGTAGTGGTGGTTAGTTGGGCTGGTGAAGATTCAGTGTGTAGTGGTGGTTAGTTGGGCTGGTGAAGATTCAGTGTGTAGTGCATCTTCCCGAGGCAATGGAGTTAACTGACTGACCAGTTTCCACCTTTGCCTTACGAGGATGTAATTTCTAGACTCGATCGTAGCGCCACCAGTGACTACACGAGTTATGTCTTTTCTATGTCCTTTCTATTGACCAATCAGATTCCACCTCTAATATCACCTGCATTAGTCGAAAACAAAATGGCGGCGCCTAGTGAAGACGATCTGATCGATAATCAATATCGATAATGTAATAAAACGGGTCTTACTTCACGTAGTGCATCAAATT